GTCAATCTGCACTTCCTGACACTCTGTTTCAGAAGCCAAATACCACCGAGCAACCTGGAGCTGGAGGAAGCCTTTGGGGTTAAACCATTTGAGAGCGATTTAACCCCTTAAAGGAAAGCGAGCACCCAGGGGCTTCCTGGCATCATAGCATTTTCATTTAGGTGAAGTTGTTATGGTGACCAGAAATATCCTTTAATTTGCTTAAAGGAACACTATAGTGTCAGGAATACAAACCTATATTCCTGACACCATAGTTGTGAAAACGCTATTCACCCTGGCTTTATGTGATAATGGCTATACCCCTTCCCTTTCATGACACTGTCAAAAAGGTACCAAGCATGGATGTCATTACAATTATGCCCCCCCCTGGAAAAATTCCTGCGGACGCCCATGCATGCTCCCTCGCGGTTCCCACAATTCCCAGCACAGGAACCGCGAGGGAGCATGGTAGACAGGCTCCTCCTCATTCAACCATCAGTGACTGGAGTGCCGCCGGACCGGCGAAGCTGCCACCCAGCTCGGCGGCTCCAGTCTGGAACGCGGCCGGTCCACTGCCTTCTCTAAGGTAAATTGGGGGCAGGGGGAGAGATAGGGAGAGGGGAGAGACATAGGGAGAGGGGAGAGACATAGGGAGAGGGGAGAGACATAGGGAAAGGGGAGAGGGGAGAGACATAGGGAAAGGGGAGAGGGGAGAGACATAGGGAAAGGGGAGAGGGGAGAGACACAGGGAAAGGGGAGAGGGAGGGAGAGACAAAGAGGGAGAAATGAGAGACACACGTGGGGAGGGGAAGAAAGAGGTAGAGGGGGAAGAGAGAGACTGGGAAGGAGAGACATTGACACATACACACACTGCCCACACACAAGGGGAGGGGAAGAAAGAGGTAGAGGGGGAAGAGAGAGACTGGGAAGGAGAGGGGAGACATTGACACATACACACCATACACATTCACACACTGCCAACACACGCACGCACGCACACACACCATACACATTCACACACTGCCCCCCCCACACACACTATACACATTCACACACTGCCCCCACACACACACACACACACACACACACCATACACATTCACACACTGACACCCACACACTGAACCTTTCACACACATTGCACCCCTGTTCCTATACCCTACTACAGCCCCATATCCCAGCAGACTCCAGGTAAGTTGTCAAACTGTTCTTAACCACTTAAGGACCAAACTTCTGGAATAAAAGGGAATCATGACATGTCACACATGTGATGTGTCCTTAAGGGGTTAAACGGTTTGACTACCCACTCTGGGAGGGGGTGCCGACACTCCTGGCACCATAACCACTACACAGAGGAGTAGTGGTTATTTTGCATGGAATATTTCTTTAAATAATCTACAAGTGCCCCTCCCGGGCTCAGGCTCTGGATCCATCACTGGTATATGACATGTATATTAATGTGTATATTTGATATATATATATATATATATATCTATATATATATATATATATATCTATATATCTATTATATTTACACATATTAATGTACATTTATATATGCATAATACACAGAGAAATTTCATTAATATGTACCATATGTAATGAGCAGATATTGGCCCTATCTTGTTGCTAGGTGCATACTCAATCACAATAACATATTTAAAGTGAAGAGCACACCCACAGGACTTCAAAATAAACATTTTTTACAGTTGTGCCCTACATACATTCACCATTTCAGTCCCATTAACAAGATTTCCTTAATATGTCAAGGTAGTTGGACTGAAACATTGATTACATGCAAAGGCACGTCTGCTTAAAATAAATCTGCACTTTTGTTTATTTTGAAGCCTATGAGTGCGCTTTTTACGTTGAAGTACTTTTTAATTTTAAGTTATCTGTTGGGCTGGTAAATATTTTTTTTCCAGGGCTGCTTTTAATTCCCAGTCCGGCCCTGGCGCCCGCTTCTACTTCTGTGACATCATCCAGAAGATGTCACTTAATAATCTTCTCATTCAATCCAATGGTCCTCATAAAGCCCTCCTCCAATCAAATTCTCTCTGAGAAGCATTCAGAGGAGGTGACTTGTGAGAATGGAGTCTGACTCTGTTCTCCCAGCATGAAGACCGCCACTAGAGGTATGTTCAACCTTGCATTGGAAACATTGCCATACCTACTAAACTGCAATGTCTTACATTGCAGGGCTTAAACTAAAGGTCAACGGCTCCTAGACCACTTCATTGAGATTGTGGTCTGGGTGTCTTTAGTGGTCCTTTTAACCCCTTAAGGACTAAGCTTCTGGAATAAAAGGGAATCATGACATGTCACACATGTCATGTGTCCTTAAGGGGTTAAGGATGTATACATCATGAAGATACTTTAAATGCATTGTCCTTGATAAGAGTGCAAACCAAGTTTTTGTTTACCCATTGTACAGCGCTATGGGATTTGTTAGCGCTATATAAATAATAAAATAATAATAATAATCTCTCTCTGTGCAGTTTCCATTGATGTTGTGAGCTCCAGGGACTTGATATGCAAGGCGTATACTAACAAGTCAGATCCCCCATTTCCCTTTAGTGATGAAATTATAACGAAAATCATGACACGGTAATCTGGATTCTAAATCTTGCTAATGCTGTATCTCTTAGATTTTATTTCAGATGTTGATCCTATTTCTATCATTATAATGTTTCTGTTGCATAGTAATCAAGAAGTTTGAAAAAAAGACTCCAGTCCATCAAGTTCAACTTTTCACACTCCTATCTATGCTGGTATTCCTGTGTGTGTGCGTGTGTATATATAAACAAAATATAAAAAAATAAATACAAAATGTAAATATTAATGACCAATTACACATAAGATTACGTAACAAGCGCTGCTGCATTCTCCTATAATTTTTGATTATTTTGACATTACAGCTTTGTTCTATTCTAATTTTTGCTCAAATTGAGAAGATTTTGAGTTGGCTATAATTGCAAATTTGATACAATAATGTTAAATGACTTAAGAGTTAGCTAGAAGAATTATGTAAAGTAGAAAAATGAAATGTTTGTATGTAAGCGTGAGGATAGAAAATAAGGTGTAAATTTGAAAGAAAATGTTTGTCCAGTTACATTCCAAGAGATTAGATGTAAACTTCTGAGTTCTAATTCAGTTGTATTTGAGCTGTACTTTTATTGCAGAATAGTATGCATTTTTGAACGTTTCTACCCAATGTAACAATTATGGAGAAGAATTGTGTGAGAATAAACACAGAAGAAAAAAAAAAGGGGTAGCCCCTTTTTAGTTAAAGGGACACTATAGTCACCTGAACAACTTTAGCTTAAAGAAGCAGTTTTGGTGTATAGAACATGCCCCTGCAGCATCACTGCTCAATCCTCTGCCATTTAGGAGTTAAATCCCTTTGTTTATGAACCCTAGTCACACCTCCCTGCATGTGACTTGCACAGCCTTCCATAAACACCTCCTGTAAAGAGAGCCCTATTTAGGATTTCTTTATTGCAAGTTCTGTTTAATTAAGATTTTCTTATCCCCCTGCTATGTTAATAGCTTGCTAGACCCTGCAAGAGCCTCCTGTATGTGATTAAAGATCCATTTAGAGATTGAGATACAATTATTTAAGGTAAATTACATCTGTTTGAAAGTGAAACCAGTTTTTCATGCAGGCTCTGTCAATCATAGCCAGGGGATGTGTGGCTAGGGCTGCATAAACAGAAACAAAGTGACTTAACTCCTAAATGACAGTGAATTGAGCAGTGAAATTGCAGGGGGATGATCTATACACTAAAACTGCTTTATTTAGCTAAAGTAATTTAGGTGACTATAGTGTTCCTTTAAATATCAAAAATACAAAACAAAACAAAAAATGATGATAATCGTGTGTACCTAATATGGAAGTGTGAAACTGTAGTAATAAGATAATGTTAAAAAAAATGTGTATAGTAAATACATCTAAAACTAAAAAACATTTACTATCAATATGGAAGTTATCCAGGTAGTATAGAGGTAAGAAACTAAGTAACAGTACTAAAACTTGTTCTACCCCTTTGGACTTCCATATTAGGAACACATGATTATTCATTTTTATTTTTATTTCCAAAAAATAAAGGGAATCAAGGGAATACTGGTAGAGCAATTTGATTGGCTGGGAATGCCCATTAAGTTCACTTGGTTTAAAAATAAAAAAAAATAAAAAAACATTGTATCTGTGCAGCTTTAGTTTTTGGTTTTGAAGAATTGAGTTTTTTTAATATAGTTTAGTTTCATGCATAAATTATATTTAAATATGATTATTTTATTGGGTGCTTTTCTATAGATGGAAGGTGATGTCTTGTCGATATTCAAGTCATATTATATATTTTTCAGATATTTTATTTGGCTTTTAGGTGAGGATGAGTGCTTAGACTCTACACCTCAATGCCACCCCACCACCACCCTCAATTTCTGTAGGACTACGGGTTTGAAATGTAGGAGAAAGGAAAAGTTAGTGATTGAGGTCCAATGGTGGGACAGTTAAATCCGCACTTCTGATGGCATCTATCACTGTATTGTGTATTTGATCTCAATCAACATTTAATACATCAGAAATAATGGAGATAAATATTTCATTATGGTTTAAAAGGCTATGAAGTATTTACAGTTATGGAGATAGTTAGCTATGTATTATAATATTTTTTATTTATTTTTTTCAGTTGCATATCTATACCCATAACTATACGAACTATATTCAAGAAGGCCAAAGAGAAAATTGCATATGAGGCTGCCATGTTCAGGGATCCTTTTAAGCAGTTAGTACCACAGAGATCAAAGGGCTTCTTAGAACATGATGGAGCTCAAGAGGCTAGACCAAGTTTTAGCAAGGACACGAACAAAGATACTTCACCTATTGCAGGCCCTTACATGGACACTGAGTTAATCCAGGATCCTAAACTGTACCCAGAGTGCAGTGACTCCCCCAAACCTTGTTCCACTATTGTAGAAGGAACAGACTATATCAGTGCACAAGTTGATTGTTCAGAAATGGTTCAATATGACTCTCCAACAATGCAACAGTCATCTGATGACATCAGAGAGGAACATAGTTCTGTTGCAGAGGAATCTAGTCCAATCAAGACAGCAAATCCAAGTCCTTTTATGACTGAAGGTCTTCCTCCTCATGTGACACAGGAGACCAGTTTTGTGACGTCTGAAGATACAAACTCTACTGAAAAGCTCAGTTCAAGTGTTCTAGAAGAGCTGAGTTCAAGCTTTCCAGGAGACCATAGTAGCAGCATTAATGAAGATGGCTCTTAGTGTTACAGGATAGTTGGTCCAAGTCTATGTTTTTCTGATCAGTTGATCTAAACTTTATTTACTCTTATAAAAAGGTTTTTGAGTTGGCATCTATTGTCTTACAAAAGAATAAATGTACATTTATTGAAATTATTTTTTTCAATAGATTAATTATGAGTGTTCTGTCTGAGGAGCTTGTTTAGTATTATGAATAAATAGTCATAACTGCGCTCTCACGGTAACTTTCAGATGAATGTTTTGGCTTGGTTCATTTGTTACTTTAAGGGGAAATTTTCGGTGCAAGACCAGTTTCTTGCACCCCTCCCAATAAAAATGGCTAACTTTCTTCCCCCAGCCCCTTTGTGTGTTACTTTCTTTCTCAATTCCTTTTATGTCTCTTCCCCCAACTACCAGATGTGTCTTTGCCCCCCAGCCCCAATGTGTGTGTGCCTTTGTTCAACTGAAGCCCCAATGTGTCTCACTTTATAGTCCCCCCCACAATGTCTGCCTCTTTGGCCATGGTCAAGATTACCTGCAGCAAGTGCCCCCTATAGCCCACTTGCTGCAGGAAGGAGATGAAGAGGCATAGGTTTGCACTAGCAGGTAAGAGATGAAGTGACCTCTCCTGCTGATTAAGGGATGCAACTCTCACCATCCTCTGCAATCCACACCAAACTGAGGGTGGTGGGAGTTGCACTGAAATAAAATATGTAAAGAAAAAAACACTGTGATTCTTGTTTTCTGAATACATTGCATCCCTGTCTGCTGTGCCAATGGGGATCCTGTACCCAGCCACCATTAGCCAACTGGTTTTGATGGCTTCTGCTCCAGGCTGCCCCCCCCCCCCTGCTGCAGCCAGTCTCCTCAAACACACACTGAATCTTCTAGCCATTTTCATGTTAAAAGGATGAAAAAATATATTTTTCTACAAACTAGGAGGAGATAGGGTACATGAGAGTGATGTGGACATTTTTATACTAATATATCCAGGGTAAATAAGTGATGTGATGGAGAAGGGGACTGGTATATTGGATGGGAGAAAAGTTAGAGTATGAGAGAAGTGTATAAAAATGGAAGAAGCAGAGAGAAGGGGGATATAGTGAAGGAGTTGGAATAGAGAGAAAGGAATGGTGAAAGAATATGGTTACAAATGTTCTATAAAACAATCCTCAATATTAATAGAAGAGTCAAACAGAGTAAATCCCAATAAAGTGTTTGGTAAACAAAAAGTCCAGCTAGCAGAAACTGTTGAAAACAGAGCTGAGCCCCCAGGCTGTAAACAGACCTACATACTGAATATTCTGTAAGGTGACACATGCCTTCTCTGAGCCTCCTCCTCTCTCTGTCTCCTATGCGGCTTTGTAGGCTGGGAGGAAGTGAAGAGTATTGAGGCTCATGTGTACTGTGGTCATTGCTGCCACCCAGGAAAGATGGGAGTGAGTGCAGGACTTCTCTTTTTGTATTTGAATTTACTTTGTAAGTTGGGTAAATGTACAACAATGTAAAGTGTTGCAATATTTAGGTATTTGTGAAAAATATCCTACAACTCTTAAAATGTTAGGCGAGTTCAGTATCCTGTATTTAAACATATATTGTAACTAGAGGTAAAGAGACAAAAAATGAGTGCCCTAAATACATTTAAAATATAACCTTTAATAGTAATCCTTAAAATCTATGATGAGTACCGTGGTATGAATAATACTCAAATAATTGTTAACTAAGGTATATACACAAACAAGTAGAAAGTATCCAGAGACCTAAATCTAGTGGTGTATGCAAGAAACTATTTTGCAACCCACTATAGCCAGGAAATTAAAGTTAGCTATAAAAATACATAAACAAAATAATGAACTAAGGTGTAAGCAGTCTAATAGAACTAAGTCAACTAAAGTATATACATAAATAATAAACAACTAAATGAAAAAGATACAACAATGGTTAAGAGTGGGACAAACCGCTCCACCACAGTCGTAATTGTTGTTGGATAAAACATGGCAACATTTCATTCTTTGAGTGTTATTAATTTAGGCAGACTGTGATTGTCTATTGTTGTGACTTAGATGATGATTAGATCACATTTTATGACCAATTTGTGCAGAAATCTATATCACTCCAAAGGGTTCACATACTTTTTCTTGCAACTGTATATAGATGTTTGGTACCGCGGATTTCTACATATATCTCGTTGCCTATAGTACTATAAGTGATTTGGGGTAAGGGATCTCTAAGTACAAGTCTCCAGGTAATCAAACAGGTAATACTAATACATAAACCAATCCCCACTGACTACCTCTCAAGGGGAGGAAAATAGAATAAGAGAAACCAGTGGTCTTTTTAAAAAGAGGCGCGATGTAGTCTGCAGTTAGCTCTTGACAAAGGCAAAAAGGTATCGCCGGAACGCACGTCGGGCCAATTTCTCCGTTACTGCGGATGATTTTATACTAGGACCACTGGTTTCTCTCATTCTATTTTCCTCCCTTTGAGAGGTCGTCAGTGGGGATTGGTTTATGTATTAGTATTACCTGTTTGATTACCTGGAGACTTGTACTTAGGGATCCCTTACCCCAAATCACCTATAGTACTGTAGGCAACGAGATATTTGTAAAACATCCACGGTACCAAACATCTATATCTATATATATATATATATATATATATAATATATAATATATATATATGTATATGTATACTGCACTAACTGAACTGCAGGGTGAGATCTGGGTCTTTTGGTTATGCTAACTGCCTATAACATTCCGAGACGCTCTGATACCGTCTCGGTCTCATGACGAATTACGGCTTTTATGCTAACAAATATACCTACTGACCATCACTCATACCCTGGGTCACCTACAGTTTATCCTACTATAGCAGTATACAGTACTCTCTTATTTTTCTTTACAGGGTATTACAATTGCGGCTAATTTCTATCCTCCAGTACTAATCTTGTAATCGATTTAGCATATCTGGGGAGTGTTATCATCTTATTGCCACAAATACCCTTTTCTCCTAAAACTCTGCCATATCCCCCTGGAGGGTTTATATAACTATCTTCCCCATCATATGAGTTATAATAGATCTATCTATTCAGTGGTTTATACAGAGTATCTATTTTCATGCAACTATTTGCAACATACTATCTAGATACTTTCCACATTACAAATTGGATCTATTTCAGTGAGAGGACAGTTGATCCTATTTTTAACATTTGTTTATTTATTATCACTATTGTTTTTGTGTGTTTATCACTTAGGTAGTACATTTATATTATACACTTTTATTTATATTTTCTGTTCCTTGTGAGGGACTAATAAAGATTAGTTTTATTCTTTTTGCTCTGTACTTAGACATTGTTCATTTACTTTATTTAGAGCAATTTTCTCTCCAAGTATACCAGGTCTATATGGGTGGCTGGTTTATTTAATCTGCCACTTTTTTTTTTTCAGTCCTTTTTCTAATAAACAACTAAAGTAGATAGAGATACGTTCCGATAAACAACAAAAGTACATACAAATTAGTTGGAGGTCCTGTTCGTAAATTTACAGAGACCTTCACTTAGTAATGTGTGTAAAACAAAGTTCTGCAATCCACAGTGGCTGTATAGAGTCGAGTGAGCTATATAGAATTTTCTATATATAGTTTCTATATAGCTCACGCGACTCTATACAGCCACTGTGGATTGCAGAACTTTGTTTTACACACATTACTAAGTGAAGGTCTCTGTAAATTTACGAACAGGACCTCCAACTAATTTGTATATACTTTAGTTGTTTATTATTTATGTATATAGTTTAGTTGACTTAGATCTATTAGACTGCTTACACCTTAGTTCATTATTTTGTTCATGTATTTTTATAGCTAACGTTAATTTCCTGGCTATAGTGGGTTGTAAAATAGTTTCTTGCATACACCGCTAGATTTAGGTCTCTGGATACTTTAGAACAAGACCCTTTCTACTTTATTTGTGTATATACACCTTAGTTAACTGAGTATTATTCATACCATGGATACTCATCATATATTTTAAGGATTACTATTAAAGGTTATATTTTAAATGTATTTAGGGCACTCATTTTTCATCTCTTTACCACTACGTTTCTATCACTTGGGTTAACCCCTATACGAGTGCTTTTCCAGCTTCTGTTCTCCTGTTTGTCTTTACAATATATTGTAACTATGAAAAAATAAATATATATATATATATATATATACATACACACACACACACACTCTCTCACTCTCTCTCTCTCCCCAGAAAAATCCAAAGAAGTTCCAATAGACCATTGTCCCACAGGGAACATGTGTCTGTAATACAAAATTGAACAGACCATATACGTATCAGAGAGTCCACTGCAGTCTAATAGACTTCACTAGTCAAGCTGTTCGCTCTCTTGTTGGCAAGGAGTGATGGGGACCACAGTCTGACAGTATTCAAGCTGGTGAACAGGGAAGCCAGTCTACGTTCCACTGCTAGCCTGTGTTCCACCGTGGCAGAGCTTCAAATCCACTTGTGCGTAATTGATATTCAAACTAACACATATTGTGAAGAATCGCTCCACTTCTTCAGCGGCAACATATAGAACTGCCTAAGTTAGTACTGTAATTTAAATGAAATACTTAAAGTGATAAAGTCCTTTTAGATTTATGAACATAGTGAGCACATGGATGAATATATTAGTTGTATGCAATGGTTGTAATTATTATTTATATAGTGCCAGCAAATTCCATAATGAACATGAAGTTATTAAAATGTTCTTAAATAAATGAGTTAGAGATAATGACCCTCCCTTGCTCTCGCCAATCCTCAATGGAGGCTAAATAATCTACGCAAACAATGAGTGTTAATCCTTGGCATCTAGAGATGACCCCAACATAAAAGGACTTATGGTTTCAGACATCTCTGCTTTCATTGATGGACTCTTCTTTTCCATATATCTTTAGTAATATTTCCAAATACATCCAAGTGTCTAGCTTTTAAGTCTATGTTCGTAAATAGGAAATCATCAAAAAAAGTGTCTAATACGCTAAAGAGATTCCCCCCAAAGATCGTGTCTATTCATGTCGGCTGATAGGCATATTAAATATTTCGGCATATCTAGATCTCCTGACCTGAATAATTTATAAAAACAATATTACACCTTTACTTCACTTAGTAACCAAAGATTAGGACAAGGCATCTTCTTCATTTTGGTTGGCCCTGCAGAATCAACATTTTGAAGATGAATATATTACCCCGTTTTCTTTATTTACTTCAAATATTACAAATATCCATACCTATGTTGTTTTTTTAAAAACCTGCTTGTCAACTCTTTCATATGGTCCTACAAACAACATAGACTAGTATTTGCTTTAATTGCCCGCTCCAGGCCAATTGGGTGTCGCTGGTGTGCCCAACTTGCATCTAGACTACCAGACAGTCGTGCTCACTAGAATTTATGAATGGACCAATGAAGTAGATAAGACAGTGGCTACACTTGGAACAATCATTCCTTAGGGTACCAATTGATATGGACTTGTGTAAAGCAGGCTCACTACTACTCCATCAAGCCGCACACCCAATAATTACATCTATATTCTGTATTTTGGAGATGAATTAGATACCAGTCCACTTTGTCCCCATATCCTTCTGACACAAAACCCAGCCTTTTCCATGATAGCTCATGTAGTCCCCTTCCAGTGAATCAGGTCCCCGCGGGCCATGTGATCGCTGTCTACAATAGCCGTCAATGAAACTGCCTGCAGGAGCTTAGAAGTTGCAAGCCCTATATCTATCCCTGAAACTTTCCAAAACACCATAAAACCTGTACATGGGGTTACTGTTTTACTTGGGAGACTTCGCTGGACACAAACGTGAGTATTTTAAAACAGTAAAATGTATCATGATGATGCTATAATCAGTGAAACTGCAGTTTTGGTGTAAAAAAAAAAAAAAAAACAACCAAAAAAACCCCCCAACAATATGAATACTTACTATGGCCTGGTTTTGTGACTAAGTGGCAACTAGAAAAGACTGGACCTACCCAGTCTTGAATACCCACACATTACATTTTATAGCACGTTACATTTTTCAGTTTATACACATTGAAATTTGCCAGATTGGTTATGTTGCCTTTGAGACTGTATGGTAGCCCAAGAATGAGAATTACCCCCAAGATGGTATACCATTTGCAAAAGTAGACAACCAAAGGTATTGCAAATGGGGTATGTCCAGTCTTTTTTAGTAGCAACTTAGTCACAAATACTGGCCAAAATTAGTGTTCAGTTTAGGTTTTTGCATACACACAAACAAATATGAACGCTAACTTTGGCCACTGTTTGTGACTAAATGGCTACCAGAAAAGACTGTACATACCCCATTTGTAATACCTTAGGTTGTCTACTTTTACAAATGGTATGCCATCATGGGGGTAATTTTCATTCCTGGGCTACCACTTGATCTCAAAGGCAACATATTCAATCTCGCAAGTTTCAATGTGTATAAACTGAAAAATTTAATGTGCTATATTTGACCCGGTAACTTTCCAAAACACCATAAAAACTGTACATTGGGGGGTACTGTTTTACCGTGAGACATCACTGAATACAAATGTGTACTTTATCGCAGTAATAGCTAACAGTATTGTGACATTCACAGTTAAAATGCCCTGCAGAACTAAAAAAAAAAAAACAAACAAAAAAAAGTCTTAATTTCTCTTTTTATTTTTTATATTTTATTCTTATTAAATTATTTTTAATATACAAATATTTGATGTGACATAAAAAGCCATGTTTCTCCAGAAAAAAATATATATGATAAGTGTGGGTGCAAATCATATAAAAGAGGTGAATTTCACTTGATCAGACATATAGCGCAAATTCAAGGTTTTGTTTAAGCTTTGTTTTGATCACAACTTGTACAGTTGGTTCAGTCCTTAATGGGACAGTTTAAGCAACATAAGCTCTGAGTTCCGTGTAGTGGTTATGCTTCCCAGAATCTGGATCCCTTTTTTTTGTCAGTCCCTTTGGATATTTGATGAAAATTGAGGCACGGAACCCAGAGACTGTCCCCGTCCCACCCGTTTGATCGTGCAGAAATTACTCTTTCAATATCAATTTCATCATGGTTTGCCATTATTGGCCAAAAGTATTGGGGGTGGGTTAACCCAGCATTGTCAGATTATCACCGCATCTATGATACTGCACTGTTTGACAATGGTGCATTTTTAACCCCTTAAGGACACATGACATGTGTGACATGTCATGATTCCCTTTTATTCCAGAAGCTTGGTCCTTAAGGGGTTAAACAGATTTAAGTATAACAAACTACGTGTATTTTTAAAAAAAATTTTAATGGCACAAGATGTCAGCAATTGCGATTTCCTATGTACACATTCCAATTCACACTTTGTTGTCATTGTTATTTATTTCTAAATTCCAAAACTTCCATTCTACACAAGCCATGAACACACACGTTTAGCTAAAGAATGTGTATTTTAATACTCTTATATAAAATTTGTTCTTCGTTGTTTCCAAGAAGGGGATGGATATCTGTATAAAATGGTATTTGAAAATATTAGAAAAAATATAATTTCATCAAAATTATTGCAACATAATGAGTGATGGTAAATTTCCAAATATGATCCACTAAAAGTAATAGAACTGTTACCGAACAGGTTTAATATTTCAGTGTTTGAAGATAACAATGTATGCCTTCTGGTAGATTCAACTGTTCAGCCACAGAAAGGCATTCCTTTGCAATTCTACAGAGCTCATGCTTTGCTGCTTCATTAAGCTGCTGGGTATTCCTACATCTGGCCAAGGAAGAGGCAAGAGAGTCCTGAACTCTGCAACAGTTCCTCCCTGATGCACACGGACTTTGCTCATCCAGTTCGATATCATGAGTACTGCTGGCAAGGTTCATGTCCTCCAAAGTGCTTGATAAATCAGAAGGATGGGGAGTTTGGTACAAAGAAGACAGACATTTCAGCAGGGAGTCCTCACACTGGCACACTGCAATCAGGAGTTCATTCAGCTTTGTACTCACTGCAGGTTCAGTATTATGAAGTTGACTCCATGTCATGAGGGCACTAAAGGATAATAAATAGTTATATCCATTAGGTACTCTACTATGCATATATGACATCTGAAATATTGTTTTATGCGTATTAAAGCAGCTCATTAACTTTGCAGGTTTTGCTTTTAAATTCATTTTTTTTTCGTCCCAATTTCATCTTTTTTTGTTCAAGAAAGTAGGGATTTTTCTCATGGGGGCAATTTTTGCCAATAGGCTGGACAGCTGCCCCCTCAAAACTATTTTTTAGCATAATGATCTTTTCATAAAGTTCTGAAACGCAATAGGATTCTTTATACATATACTTCAGTTAACAAATAAATTTAACAAAAATACATTCAGGAAAAGTCATTCCTACCTTTAGTATATGGCATGTACATAAAAGAAAGGAGAGGGGAGGCGGGAGAATGGTATATAATGTTCAGTAGGGCTGAAAGAGCAGGGCATGGACCCGGATATTGAAGTAGCAAAAAGAAGAGAACTAGCTCTAAACCCTGGAGTACGGTCGGGTAATTTAAAATTGAACTTTTAATATTATAATAGACAAAAAAAAATAAATAAAAAAAATTATATATATATATATATATATATATATATATATATACACACACACATACATACACACATATACATACATACATATACATACACATACATATACACACACACACACACACACACACACACAATATTTAGTGTTGCCACTAGATGGAGACAATCTTAATGGACCACTATAGACACCCAGACCACTTTAGCTTAATGAAGTGGTCTGGGTGTCAGGTCCAGCTAGGGTTAACCCATTTTTTAATAAACATAGCAGTTTCAGAGAAACTGCTATGTTTATAAATGGGTTAATCCAGCCTCTAAAGCCTCTAGTGGCTGTCTCATTGACAGCCGCTAGAGGCGTTTGCGTGCTTCTCACTGTGAAAATCACAGTGAGAAGACGCAAGCGTCCATAGGAAAGCATTATGAATGCTTTCCTATGAGACTGGCTGAATGCGCGCGCAGCTCCTGCCGCGCATGCGCATTCAGCCGAAGAGGAGGAGGAGAGCTCCTCGCCCGGCGCTGGAGAAAGGTGAGTGTTTAACCCCTTCCTCTCCCCAGAGCCCGGCGGGAGGGGGTCCCTGAGGGTTGGGGCACCCTCAGGGCACTATAGTGCCACGAAAACGAGTATGTTTTCCTGGCACTATAGTGGTCCTTTAACCATGCTAAGAAATAGAATCAGAGAAAAAGATACTTGGTGATCTAATCCCAATATATATATAGTGTTGCCAAAAAAGGGAGGGGTGGGGGGGGGAAACAAGAAAAAAAAATGTATATACACACACAAAAATAGAAGTTTACTCTGGGATGTGTCTAAACAGATAGTAGCAGACTGAGCTGAATAACAATGACAATAGATGGCAGTATTCAATAGAGAATCAAAGCGATCTGTAACAGTTCATCACCAAAATGCAACATGGTATGATATCATGTTAGCTATATTGTGCCAGGGGAAACCCTTGGCAATTTAGGAGTGCAGTCATGTACAGCGGCTACTGAAACAGTGAGGGATGAAGTCCTAGAAAGGACTGTTGGTGTGTAGAGTAAACAATAATAGTTATGGTTAAAAAAAAATTAAAAAAAATTCGGCCTGCTGGTATGTAAATATGCTAAATCTGTGCCTTTGAGGGCACCTACACTAAAACTAAATCTGTCATTAGATAGCACTGCTGATAATAATCACCATCCCAATATGCAATATAAAGAAAAAAAAAGCGTCGGGAATGTAATTCTGCTGGAAGGATATGCTAGTCTGAGCCTTCAAGGGCACCTGTAAGTAAAAGAGAGAATCTAACTATCTCTATGGAGCAGAACGTCAGAAGGTCTGTTCACCCAGGTCAGACCGCTGCTGAAGAATTCAGTGCAGGGAAGTCTGTAAGAAAACATGTGCTGCTTGAACGCCAGTGTTCAGGAACTGTCAGTAAAGGGTCTACAGTCTCACCAAGGGTGAATGGCAACACTCTATATATTGTGATTAGATCACCAGGTATCTTTTTCTTTGATTCTATTCCTTAGCATGGTTAAGTTTTGTCTCCATCTAGTGGTAACACTAAATAATGTTTCTATATATTTTTTTTGTCTATTATAATATTAAAACTTAAGTTTTAAAGGATCATTAAAGTGTCAGGAAAACAAAGCGGTTTTAAAACCCCTTCAGCAGCTGGGACCTCTCTTCCCCGTCCGACGTCTACTCCCTAGTGGAGCAGAATGTGCATGCGCGGCAAGTGCCGCACGCGCATTCAAAGAGTCCATAGAAAAGCATTTCTCAATGCTTTCCTATGGACGCTCTGCGCGATGGATGCGAAATTTGCATCCAGTGTCGCACGTGCGCCTCTAGTGGCTGTCCGGAAGACAACCACTCGAGGCTGGTTAACCCCAAATGTAAACATAGCAGTTTATCTGAAACTGCTATGTTTGCATCTGAAGGGTTAAAACCTGAGAGACATTGCACCCAGACCACTAAATTGAGCTGAAGTGGTCAGGGTGACTATAGCGTCCCTTTAAACTATTACCCAACCATACTCCAGGGTTAAGAGCTAGTTCTCTTCTTTTTGCTATGGCATGTACATACACTCGGGTCAGACAGTGTTTGAAAACCTCTATCAGTGGTAAGCAACCTTTGGCACCCCAGATGTTCTGGGCTACATTTCCCAAAATGCTATTACTGTCATGATGATGACAAAGCATCAAGGGAGATGTAGTCCACAACAGAAACTATGTTCCATACTTTGCATGGATGCGCTGAACATTCCCCAGAGACCGGCATGGTGGTGGAGAAAAGTTTAAAAACCTTTAATCTCCATGGGTGTTGTGTAAATCGTATTTGAGATGAACATTTTAAAGTTTATATATTTAAAAAAATAAATAATAATAATACTTTACCTTGTCAACACCTTTCTAGCTGCCGACCAGATTACTTCCTGGATGTTTAAGCTCAGTGGAGTTAAATTAAAGAGGCAGCAATTGCTCCTGGCACCCATTTTGCAAAGACTTCTCACTGAGTTGCATTGGGAAATCTGATTGGACAGCCACAGAAAGTCTAAGATGGGGAAGGAGGAGAGGACTTGCAAAGGCTGCAGACAAGAGAACTGCAGCTCTTCTGAGCTTTTTTAGATATATCTCAATGAAAAAACTGCAATTCTACTCACCGTAAATTCCTTTTTCCTTAATATGGTGGCAGTACAATAGGGATGTACTCTTCCCCAGGACAAGCATCTGAAATTAAAATTAACATAGAAAGTTCCTCCCCCAACAGGTATAAGACACCAACCTGCCATGGACCCTCAGTATGTCCCAATAAAACATCAGAGACTTAATACTGCAAAAATATAAAATTTAATAATAAAGAAGGGGGGGGGGGAGAGAATGATGTGCCTCCACCATATTCAGGAAAAAGGAATTTACGGTGAGCAAAACCACAGTTTTTCCTGACATATGGTGGCAGTACAACAGGAATATATTGAAATCCCAGAACTATGGGAGGGAATCATGAAACCACTGCTTGCACCACCTTCTGCCCGAAAGCAGCATCAGAGGCAGAGTATATGTCTAGTTTGACGAAAGTGTTAAATGATGACTATGTAGCAGCTCTGCAGGTAACTTCCGGTGAAGGTTGTGCTTTATCGGCCCAAGAAGTAGCCATGGCTCTTGTAGATGAGCTTTCAAGGAGGTAGGTAAAGCAGATTTGCTGAAGCATAAGCCAATTTTATAGTGTCCACGAGTCATCAAGCTAGGGTAGACTTAGAGGCGGTATGACCTTTAAATTTACCAAAGAAATTCACAAACGGTCAGTCTTCCTGAATGCAGGGGAGCGGTCTAAGTAGATTTTAAGGGATTTTTCAACATCCAACTCGTGCCAATTTTCTTCCAGATCGGAGACAGGTGTATTACTAAAAGGCAGGCAGGGAAATAGGTTGATTGATAGCCATGGAAGAGATGACTTTTGGTAGAAATGAAGGTTTTGGATATAGAACAACCTTGTTTGGAACAATCTTTGTAAATTCAGTAGAAGATGACAAAGACTGAATTTCTCCTATTCTCTTAGCAGAAGTTATAGCCACCAAAAATGCGGTTTTATAGACAAGAGCTTTAAGGAAGTTTCCTCCAAAGGTTCGAAAGGCTGAGAACAAAGAGCCTTCAACAACAAAGATAAGTCCCAAGAGGGGAAAACATTTTCTTGGAGGCCTGATGAGCCCGACAGCCTAAAAAAAAAAAACAAAACAAAAAAAAAAACAGCACAACTTCTAACAAGAATATCTGAAGCCAAGTTCTTGACCAAAAGATAGCTCAGAGCGAATACTTGAACTTTAAGGATAGACAAACTAAGACCCTCTTGAAGGCAGTCTTGTAAAAAATGCAAAATTGTATTTGTAGAAGGAGAAGTTTTTAGGCAATGATGAGAGCTGCACCAATTCGTCTAAATCTTCAATTAGGTAGCAGAGGTAGATTTCTTTGTAGAATTCAGCAGTATTTTTAATCTCTCTTTCTTAAAGCCCGTTATGTAGGATTAGCCGTGCAGCAGCCAAGCCGTCAATTTGAAAATCTTCAATGTTTCTATTGGAATCGCTTTGTTCTCCAGGAGCTCTGTTGAAACTGGAAGTTCCCAGTACTTTAAAAATCGTCTTCAAAACAGAGAACCAGCTCCGATTTGGCCAGTATAGAATTATGGCCAGTACAATCGCCTGTTCTTTTTTCACTTTTTGCAATATTTGTGGAATTAGGCACACAAGTGGAAATATGTATGCGAAGCTGAAGTCCCATTTGATTGACAGACCATCCAGATCCTGAAGCATGTCTGCCTTGAAGAGGGAGGCAAATGCTTGTACCTTTGTTTTTGACCTTCTCGCCATGAGATCTTTGACAGGTAGACCAACTACTTTCACCAGTTGATTTAAAAAAAATAAATTAAAAAAAATGACCGTGTTCAGAGACCATCTCGATCTGCTTAAGTCATCTGCAATTATTTTGTCTATCCCTCTTATATGAATAGCGGATATGTCTTCTAGATGGCTTTGAGCCCAGGACATAATTTGAGTGCAAAGGATGTGCAATTTTCTTATATTTGTATGTCCTTTATTGTTCAAGTAGGCAACCATAGTCTGGTTGTCTGACTGAATTTTCATCGCTTTCCCCATAATTAGAGGTCTGAACTGATGAAGAGCATACAAAATGGTTAACTCCTCGTAATTTGATGATTCCCTTCTTTCTTCTGTGGACCATGTCCCTTGCCTCAAATGATACTGCAGATGCTCTCCCCAACCTGTGTTTGAAGAGTTTGTGGTGATTATGACCCATTCTTTTGGTAGAAATGAAAGACCTAATAGGAAACTGGTCTTTTTCCACCAATTCAGTTGTCTTTTTACAGGATCTGAAATCTTTATCAATGTATCCAAGTCTTCCTTTTTCTTAGACCACTTTGTAAGAATTTCCCACTGCAAAGGCCTTGATTCTGGCCTGGACTATTTTACCGCTGGGATAGTGGAAGTGAGGTGTCCCAACACCTGCATAGCTTTTCTTATAGAGCATTTCGGTACTCTCTGAAGCTCTTTTATCAGCTTCCATGTCTTTCTTCTTTTCACCGCAGTCAGGTGGATAGCAAGAGAGTCTGACTTGATTAAGAAACCTAGAAACTGAATTCACTTTGCAGGATGTAGATGAGATTTTTCTTGGTTTACCACCCAACCATGTTCTTTTATGATTGTAAGCCACATCTGTTAGAGCGTCTCTTGACTTTGCCTTTATGAACCAGTCGTCCAAGTAGGGAATAACTGTGATTACTTGTTCCCTTAAGAGCGCTGTGATAGGTGTTAGAACCTTTGTAAATATCCTTGGCGCTGAGGAGGGACCGAATGGAAGGGCTTTGAATTGATAGTGATGAACCTTGTGACCCTTTCTTTTGGCAAACCACAGGTACGCATCTTTCAAATACAATGTTGCCATAAAATCGAATTTTTAAAGGGTATGTGGGACTGAAGCGATTGTTTCCATTCTGAAATGCTTGTTGTTTAATTCTCTCAGATCCAGAATGGGGCGAAAAGACATCTGGTTTTGAGACCAGGAACAACCGAGAGTAGATACCCTGATATTGCTGGGCCCTTGGAACTCTTTGATAACATCTTTCTGTAAAAGAGTAACCGTAGCAGAGAAGAGAGCTGTTTTTTTTAGCTTTAAACGGTAGGAGGAAATAAGGAAATCTGGTCTTGGTACATGTAAGAATTTTATCTTGTATTCTCTTGCAACCAGATTCAAAATCTCAGGATTTGCAATGCTCTCTCCATCTGTGAAGAAACTGCTGTATCCGTCCGCCCACTCTTATGGCGTCAGAGTCTTTTTGCTCCCTCAGTTTTGATGTCTTTATTTGGTTAAACCTTGGATCTTTCCTTTGTTGACAAAAAAATAAAAAATAAAATACCCCTCGCGGTTCTTGTATCTGGGCTTCCACAAATTACTTCCTTTCCTGAGGAAGGGCCTTCTTGGTTTCTGACATTTGTCGAATTAATTCTTCCAAAGGAGAGCCAAATAATTTCTTCCTCTCCATAGGAAGTTCACACAGAGCAGACTTTGAGGCTGTGTCAGTCGTCCAGGCTTTAAGCCACAGTGCCCTACGGGGGCCCAGAGATCAAGCCCATGACACGAGCAGATTGTTTAATCACTTCTGTGATAACATCTAGCAGGTATTCATTGGATAATCTTTAACTGCGGAATAGGTGTGAAAGATCCTTGTCTTGGTGTTCTGCCAGGCAATCTTCCAAACCTTGAATCCAATAGTACTGAGCTTCAGCCACTAAAGCTCCTGCCAATGCTGCTTTAGCATGAAACCCCGCTGCTTGATGTTTCCGCCTTTTTATCCATAAGGTCTTTAAGTCCAGAGACTTTTCCAATAGGTTTAGTAGTCTTTTTTTAATACAACTGAGCAAAATGTACATCGACTGGTAAATCTTCCCACTTGTCTTATAAAAATGCCTGGTGTAACGGCACCCTCAGCATCAACAGTAAAACCGCCGTTTAGTTATTCCTTCCCTCTTACCATAACGCAAGCTTCATTCGTATAAACGCCAATTATACGAACTGCAAGCAGGGGAACACTCCAATCTCCCGAACGGGATCCGTACAGGTACTTCGCTTCCCAATCAGTAAACTCACGAATCGCCGCTAACAGCCGAAACCATAGATCTCCTAAGCGGCTAATAATTCCAATCCAGCAGTCGCTATTCGTGTAGTAAATTCCCCTCCAATAACGAGACCAAGCTCCGCATTGAGGGTAAAACATGAGCCTGGTTTACTGTGGGCTACCCGCCCGTATTTATGCAGGTCTCCCACTTGGTGGACACACAGGCACATAATATATCCAGCATGCATCATGGTTTCCTCCCCTCTGCCCTGGAGATAATTGATAAGTAATTCAATTATCTCCCAGGACAGAGGCAAATCGCCATTTTAGATGCGACCCAAAAAAACCACATAAAAATATATAACTTGACAACTACCGAACATTTCCCATTCGTGTAACGTATCCCCAGATAGCCTGGATCTGAGTGCATATTATTGGCGAATAGCGCTCAGATCTCATACGCACAGTTCAATCGCCATGGAGTCAAAGTCTTGTACAGTCTTTCGGTATGCGATTGACTCCATGGGAAGGCTATCTGGGTTAAGTCCATTTGTGCGGTTCAAACTCCCGAACGGCCGATGTTCGCATGCCTCGGTCGATGAAGAAGGGAGGTCGGTGGTTTTAGCGGTGTTCGGCAGAAAAAGTGTCCGTTTTCAGTTCCATAGAATCCGTGCCAAACACCGCTGGTCTTTCGCCTGTTTTAAAATGGCCGACGCCTCGTGGTCGACATACGAACGACGACCACCCTGTATACGGTTATAATTGAGAGGTGTCTGCGGTTAACCACAACGTTCTAATTGGGATCAAGAGGTTAACCAGCAGCACACTTCTCTTCTGGGTGGCCGTCCGTTCGGTAAGTTCATTTGGTAGAAAAGTCAAATAAATGAACAGGGGCATACGGACAGGTAATTCCATGAAAGGAGGCAAAACAGACGAACCAGCAATCTTAGTCTATACAGATGGATCTGTCACACCTGGAAATAAAAACGCCTTTTTTTCCCCAGAGTTTTTCCACTCCCTGTACATAAGCTCCAGAATCTGCTGTTGAACTGGTAGGGTTTTTTTACTCTACTTTTCTGATACTTTTTCAGAGAATGCAACTTTAACTTCCATAACAAATTTTTTTTAGTTCTCCCTGTGGGAAACCAATTTCCGTTATAGAAGAATCGATATACCGCTATGAGCATGCATCTCGCTCGTGCAGTGATTTGCTGCCACTAGAGACCTCCTAGTTGCTTTGCCGGTGACCGCACTCAGCATAAAACAAGACTCTCATACATGCTCCGTAACTCTGCAGGTTGAAGATAGGCCACTTAGCTCTCCACCTGGATTCCCATGGCAGCAACCCATGTGCCTCACTGAAACGTTCCAGATGCCATCCGTTCCCGATGGAACAAGAAAAAGAACTGAGGGTCCATGGCAGGTTGGTGTCTTATACCTGTTGGGGGCAAAAGCTTCACCTGAAGATACCTGCAGAGCTGCTACATGGTCTTCATTTTACACCTTCGTCAAACATCACAGACTAGACGTATACTCTGACGTTGCTTTCGGGCAGAAGGTGTTGCAAGCAATGATTCCCGCCCATAGTTCTGGGATCTCCATATATCCCTATTGTACTGCCACCATATGTCAGGAAAAACTACAATTTTGCTCACCATAAATTCCTTTTTCCTGAATATGGTTGCAGTAAATCATTCCCCTCCCACCCCCCTTTATTATTAAATTTGATATTTTTGCAGTATTAAGTCTCTGATGTTTTATTGGGACGTACTAAGGGTCCATGGCAGGTTATTGTCTTATACCTGTTGGGGGAGGAACTTTTTAAGTTAATTTTAATTTCAGATGCTTGTCCTGGGGAAGAGCACATCCCTATTGTACTGCCACCATAGGTCAGGAAAAAATGCATAATTAAATGCATACATGGTTTAATTTGGGGTATATCTACTAAATAGTGATTTTAAGTATTTGATAAGTGGAGTGTCCTTTGTAGTGGTTTATTCTGTAGGAGTGCCACAGTGTAAGTAGTCAAATCGTTTGCTAATTCTAAAAACAAAAAAAACCTTTCCTTTAGATCAAAATCTAATTATTGTTGTCATTAATTCTAGGGATTTCTTGTTAATTTCTGCTTTAAAATGCATCTGTATGATATCTATTTTATATTATCCTCAAGGCTCAGAACGGATTAATCATAAATTTATATTTATTCAAAGGTACTCTCACTAGACATTTCTACTTAAATAAAAAAACAAAGCAAGCAGGACCTTGAGAAGCACTTCACAATCTGCAAAAATCATAACAAAACAGTAATTACCTTAAGGTTCCTCGAAGTTCACCAAAAGGCTTTAACATGTTCACCCCAAGTTTGTATCCAAGGTTAAATCCGCTTTGCAGTGCATTCTCCCTACCAGCATCTCTCCCATCAAGGTACCCCTCCTGCAATGGAAAAGTATAAATGGTTCAACTTCGCAAACATGCAGATTCTTGCTGTTGTTGGACAGTTTTGGATTTTTAGCAATATGTATATGAGTGCATATTTTTGTCCATCAAGCACATAACAGACGCAGGCAGCAAAATACTGAAAAATGTTAAGTGACACATTTGTAATCATGCAGGATTGTGCCCTTAGTCCACCTTCGTGTTTGTAGGGGTTATGTACAAACATTAATTCTGAGGCAAAGTTCGAGAAGTGGAGTAGTCACCATGGAAACCAGTGGAATGTTGCTGCTGATCACTACACCTTTAGAACTTTGCACCAGAATTACTCTTTGCACACAACCCCCATTGCATCAATGAAAGGGAGAAGCCCACACACCACAATGGTCCCTAAGCCTTACTTTCGTGTCCAGGTACTAGCCTCTCCATTCTGCATCAGACACCTGTGGCACTCAGCTGTTGCCTGACATGTTACGGAAATTTGCTTTCTTTTGTCAGTCCATGACAAATCACCTGACTTTTTGTCAGCACCATAATAAACACTCCAGGCACTTCTCTATGTGGTTGGGAACTTTGTATGCCCTAGCTCACACTGCCCTGGCCATATTCAGTTCTGTGGATGTGTCCCGGTATCATCACCCGGTTGGCAAACAGGTGCTCCTTCCGCTACCGTCCTCATACCCTCTGTAGCCATGGTAGTAAACCAATGTCAATGGTCCAACATGGAAACTGCCGATTGGCAGTGAGTACTGGTGGCAGGTCTATCAATGCCAAATAGGTATGACAAAATTGACCTTAATAATGCAGAAGAGGGTATGGATCCCAGGGAAAGCCTTGGCTTATGTCAAGTTACTCCAAAACAGATATGAAACCAAGGGACAACACCAGGACACTCAAAGCAAAGTACCTCTACAGTGATCAAAAGTTTTGTTGCCAAGAGTGGCCCTTTAACAGCTCTGAAATCCCCAAAAGTCTCTGTCTATGGAACATCATAGGCTATTACATCTGAAATAAGTAAAGGGCCCAATATCACTAGCAATGGGGTACAAAGCTGCAGGGGACCCTAATGTGCCATTTTACTTTCCCAGGAAAATTTCCTAGGCTGACTGAATTTCTTTCCCTCAAACCTATTTCAGCACTTATTTTACATAGCTGGAATAATACCTAATAAATAATAGTGTAGGTTCAATGTGAATACCCCCTCCCACACATGTGGAATGAATGGCACCTTCCACAAATTTCACTCCAGCTTCAACTGCATATTTATTTAATACTCTAGAGTACAGACATTAACTATACATTATTCTATAAAACAGGCTTCCCCAAACTCCAGCCCTCCAGATGTTGCTGAACTACAACTCCCATAATTCTATGAATGAAATAGATAGGCTGAGAATCATGGGCGTTGTAGTTTAGCAACATCTGGAGGGCCGGAGTTTGGGGAAGCCTGCTATAAAACAACAAGCTCACAGTGTTTAATAGCAAATACAGTAAAGCATAGCACACAGGGATAGCTTCCAATATACAGAGAAATCTGGAAATCCCAGACACAGCACACAGATATAAACTCCTCCTGCATCCTCACCTTCAACCTCTTCTCCATTGATCGCTTCCATTCTGTCTGCAGGATATTCATCTCGTCCCCCTCTTCATCAAACACGTCCTCCCCCTCCATGCTGTCCCGGGTTCTGCTCGCAGTCTCTCTGCCGGGAGCTCACTGACCATGCGCGCACCTGGGCAGGTCATGACGCACGCGCAGATCGCTCTGCAGCCACACACGTGCCCGTGACACTAAGCGCGTCCGTGAGACAAAAGCATGCCGCGCATGCGCATAACTGCATTCAAGTAGATCCATTCTGAACTGCGATATAGGAGTATTATTTATTTATTAATTCATTTATTTAATTCAATCTATAACCACCGAGCTATATGGCTGTTAAAAATATTATGGAGCATTTTATCAAGGTAACCAGGGCTATTTTGGTACAATCACCATGGCAACCTATACAATTTCCATCAGATGTTACCACTGAGCTGCAGAATAGTTTTTGCTGTAACCTGTTCACTTCAGGATTCCTATATACAAAATACCCAGGATATGCAGCCATGCAGCAGAAACGTGTATACGTGACTTTAACTATTGCAAATTAAAGGGACACTATAGCCACCAGAACAACTTCAGCTTAATGCTTGATGGGGTCTATAGATTTTCATAGAGAAGGCAGTGTTACTATACATTACTGACTAGGGACACCTCTAAATTTCAAGTCGTATGATACTGCCGAAAACCTAAAAACCTGCCTAAAATCTAAAACCTGCTCGCCACAGCAAACCTTCATAATACACCCACCAAGGGTGACTATCACTTAACAGGGCTAGGTGGGCAAGTGGGAATTTTGAACCATGATAATATGGTAATATATGACCAATAATTAAAGTGACAGGTATTAGAAAGAAAACTGTAATTTTACCACTCAGGTCCTGGAGCCCAGGATTCTAGTAACAGTATATATTACATGCACAAATGTATAAATAAAAATAAAAACAACATAAAATATATCTCACACAGAAAATAATTACCTGTGTGCTGTACTATAGCTATACCCCTATCAATCATTGTTACAAGTTATGCCTCTTACACCTGTTAGCCAGCATAGAGAGACAGCCTAATGAGAAGCATTGGAAATATAAACGGCATTTGTTAAAGTGTACATGCCAAGCTTTATCTATTGTGGAGTGTTTGAGGATCTGCTTATGAAGGTTTAGCGATTCCCCCATAGTAATGAGCATTTGTACTTGGTGTATCACCTTTTTTGGAATAAGTACCACAATCGGTCTGTACCACAATTGGTATGTTTTACTGAACTCACTTATGTAATGGTGTAGGGCAGGATAGGAAGCCTTCAGCACTCTATATGTTGTGGACTACATTTCCCATGATTCTTTGCCAGCATAATGGCTATAAGAACATTAAAGGAGATGTTGTCTATAGCATCTCGAGGGCTGAATGTTGCCTACCCAATAAAAGTTTGTAGCATCATGAGATTTATAATTTTAATACTAAAACACAGTAAAAAGCAAGTGTTTTTAGGACTGGATCCATATTCTTTCTTCATTTGCAAGTGAGAATTCTCATTATATATTACTCCAATACAGGATTTCTGTTTCTCCTCCTGCAATGCAATGTGTGCCTTGGCTGTGCCTGGACTGTGCTAGATCATGATGTGAATTGCTAAATATTTAATATACATTTAAAATAAATCAAAGCATTAGATATATAAATCAACACAAGGTATAGGTGATTTTTATATAAATCAACACAAGGTATAGGTGATTTTTAATGTTCTATTCACTGGTGTAATATCCGAAGACTGACAGTTTCTCTTTAGAGGCAAAAGCATTTTACTAATTCACCTGTATTGCTACAAAGTAGCCATGTTCTTTTATGGTATAACTTTATTAGTGCTGATTCTTAAATGCAGCTAGTGACCTCTAGTGTTAAATAAAAGTAATGGTGAACAGAAGGAATGATGGAAGCACTATTGTTGTTATTATTATACTTTATTTATAAGAGCCAACAGATTCCACAGTGCTGCACATGGGTGCAATTAGTACAAATAAAAAGACAAAGGTACTATACGTCTGAGAGAATACAGCATTTCAAACAAATACAGGGGTGACAAACAGTAGTTGGAGACCGCAAAGGGATATAGTGGAATACATTAGGTACTTGAATTACAACGCCTTTAGGGAGCGCTTGTAATTCAGTTACTCCATCCATTTTTTGCAGTCTTTTTCTTTAAATTAATAATGCACTACAGGGCATTATTCTTAAGGTTCTCCCCCCATAAGTGGTACAAAAAGGTCTATTAAATAAGCCAAAAATGTACTAAAATGCTGTGCCCACATGGCAGCCATTGCATGGCCCAATTAAAGGCTTTTAATAAAGCTTTTAATTGAACAGTTTTTTTTAGTAATATAATCATCTTTGACATAGTTTCATCTGGATTTTCACTAACTCTTAAAGATTATTTCTGATTGCTCCAAATCCGTAGTTTTACGCAGTTACTTAACATGAGCTTAGTTGCACAACACCCGCTTAACTCCTTTAAACCACTCTGTTTGCAAGAGGTACGGTCTAAAGGTATATCTACGCTATATACCTCTCTGACCTTGGTGTTGAATTGAAGGGACCATTTATATATCACTAAATGGACCGCTGACTAGAGAAGAGAGTTTGAAGGAGAGGCTTTGCACGATATCTGGGAGAACATGGCTAAATCCTGTTTTTGTGTTTTTATTGTATGTATTCATGCTGATGTGTCAATGCTGCCACCCAGGAGTAGTGGGAGTTTGAACGCAGGGTTTCATTTTGGATGTTTGCATTGAGCTCTGAATAGTGAACACATTCAAATAAGCTTCTGTTTAAGATTGCTTTAGCTGAATGGAGTATCCTGGCTGAATATTGATTGCATAGCTCTCCTCCCCCTTCGAATAGGGTAAATGATAATTAATGATAATATGCTGGATAAATTAACTGCCTCATTTCACAATACGTGGACTTTTTAGCTGGATTACGTATGAGTCCTTTTTGGTCCCTCCTGCAGGCCCCAAGCCTCACCCTTTGTCCCCTTTCTCTTATCTTCTTCTCTTCCTCCCTCTCTGTTTTCTCTTTTCTTCTCCTCATTTTGTGCAGCTTTTTGGGTGTTATCTTGAGCATTTTAACTCTATAGGCCTGGGTTGCCTGGTTTTCTTATTCATATTATTTGATCATGGGAACTCAACTGTACCTAATTCTTAATATTGTGTATTGTGCTGTTATCAGTTTTTGAAGTGGTCATGGTACCTTATTGCTTATTGGTTTATGTATGCTCTTTGTGGTACTTGTCTTGTCTAAATAAAGATTTGCAAAAAAAATACTCTTGTATGTTCTGTCAATTATAATTCATACAACTGAGTAGGGAGAAAATAGCTGATTTTCTAATTTCGCTTTAGAGTACATGGCAACAGAGGCAGGAACAGCAGAGGAGGATGAGGCTGTGGACACAATATTTAGAGCTAGGAGTAGAACTAGTTTCATGTCAAGCAGATTGAAGATGCAGGGGTTGTCAAGGGATTAGGAGGTGTTTCTGAGGAGGAGGAGGAGGTGGTGGAGGTTGAGTTGGTTTCACCACCCACTCTGTGGTGGCAGCCAGTAGATATATGGGGCAGAAGAGATAGAGGTTTGAGAGATGCTGAGAAGGTCAGGGGTTGTGGCACTCGGGTTTCTAAACTGAAATTGATAAAGTATGCTGCTGGCTGTAGATCCAGTGATAGTCACTAGTCAATAAGTTGAATGTTCCACAGGAAGCATTTTTAATCAGACATCTTGAAACGGCCCAATCAGGATAATTTGAATTTCTGCTTAATATCTAAGTGTGCTTTGATACTAGATATTGGCCCGAGGTGTTTTTTTTAATTAGAGAGGGTAAAGTCGCTGAGAGTTTAACAGTAGCAGTAAAACCTGGTACATGGAATAGCAAAGCTTGTGTCTTACTAACATTGTATTTATAGAAAAATATATTTCCATACACTGTAAAGAATCCCAACATGCTTGGGATCAAGGACATTTAGAGGGGTCAATGTCAATAATATATCATCTGCGAAGAGATATATTTTTTTGTAACTCTATAAGGGTAGGGATACCTACAATGGAGGAAGCAAGGATAAAAATGAGAGGAGGAAGTGGGCATATATGGTGTATTCTGTTCGTCATTGGAAACAGATCAGAATGGAATCCAGTGGATAAAGCATGTCTGACTAGGACGTGTGTAGACTCATTATAGTGCAGGATACACTTTAAAGAATACATGCCCCATTGTCACTATCTCTCTTCTATCTCTCAACCCAGTCTATCTATCCATGTTACAAACCCCACAGTTCTCATATCCATTCTCTTGCTTATCACAACTGTGAATTGTCTGTTCAGGACTAATTTCTCCATTCGTCTCCTGCACGTCTTGCTAGACGGAAGTTTGCTCGTGGCAGCATTGATCAAATATACACACTGGTAAATGATGTTGACCCTGCTATCTTTTATTTCCAGGCACTGTATTTGCTGATTACTCCTACATTTGGGGGCTAATGTCCACAAACATTATGTTCATGGCTGTTTCTCTTGTTTATTTACTTGGGATAATGGTCTCATCTGTACTTTAGCATTGGGATATTTCTAGCCACCATTTCTTATGGACCCCTTCGAATACACTTGTAATGCTTCTATGTTTGATCATTTTTGTTTTTTTCTCGATTACTACTGCTCAAGCTAATATTTATAGAGCGTTGGGTTTGCGTAAATCACAATTATTTTAAAAAGGAGTAAGGTGGGTCAGAAATTAGATGGGATGGCGTAATCAGTAGAGATCTTTTTAAGAGAGGTGGGAATTGCCACTTTAAAAGAGAAAAGCTCACAAAAGAAGTGTGAAAGTGGTTAAAAGGGGCGTATTATAATGTAGGATGAAGGTGTTGTACATTAATCTTATTGCACATGTGTTTGCTTTTTCAAAATAGCTTTATAAAATGCATAGCTTTTGAACTTTTTCAGGATCATAGGCATTGATAGTGGGGAATTTTGGGGGGAGGTGGTAGAAGAATATTTGTGTTTGATTATTTATAACTTTACTTCAGGTAGCTGTCAAGCTACTTAGAGTGAAAAGAGTACCTTTTGGAGAACAAAACTTTGCTGCACACTACTCGGTAAGTTTGGTAGCGCAGCAGGATCACATCAATTAGCTGGATGTACAGCATGTGCCTGTTTTTTGGGTATAATTTAATTGAGATCTTGAGAGCATCAGCAGCACGCTGTTCATGGGTAGAGATGAGAAAACATAACATAGAAAGGTTGGGATATGTCTGAATATTCAGTGATTTACAGAGGTATTCACTAATTATTCAGTAGATTTTTTTCTGAATGGACAAAATCCAATGAAAATAATCAAATTCCAAACAAGTTTGTAATTTGTAGATTTACTAAAGCCAAATGGGATAAGGATTCGGTCGGTCTGACCGATTCTGTAAAATTAGTTTCTGAAACATTCGGTAAATCATTATTATCCACATCCAAAGCAATTTAAAGCACAGGAATCTGAGATTGATCAACGACTGCATAGCGGCTGAGGATAAACCGAACTTATCTAGCAGGATGCACATTCGCAAATTATCATTCACTTGCTTATTGCAAGGGAGTTGATCATTTGAAGTACTATTTGCCTCCTGCCAGCACTAGCAGCCAGTAGGCAATTAGTTAAAAAAACATTTGGCAGTACAATGGTATATTATGTGGTGCATGGGCAATGCTTGCTAGCTAGCTGCGACATTAAAAAGAAAAAAAAATGTAACTGGGTGATGAGTCGGGGTCTTAGCATTAATAATATAGGAGGGAGGACCTAGCTTCCCACCTGGCCCCCCACCCATTGATGACAGGTGGTGGCCCTAATATTAATAATAGAGTGAAAGGATAGTGTTGTCATCCCCTGGCCCTCACCCATGGGCAGCAGGTGGGGGCCATAATTATTTTATAATGTGGGGGGTGGATATGCCATTGCCTACCCCCCAAACAATAGTATGTCACCATCCCTAAAAAACTAGTCCCTACCTATCACCCTCACCCTAATATTAGTAAAGGTAGATCCTAATCTAAAACCTGTTTAATATATATATATATATATATATATATATACTTAGCATCAAAGTCTTCTTTCTTCAAATTCTTCTGTTCTTCAGACCCAAAAAGCCGAAATAAAAAGCCATTATAAGCGACATCAGTAATTAAAAAATATCAAGAAAATCAAAACTATGCTGCAGCCCCATAAAACTCCATCTTCACCCATAGAGAGTTCACCACAGAATGAGCACTGATAGTGGGGAAAGACTTTGTGAAAGTTTTCCCACGATATGACAGCTAACACAAAGCACTGGAAAATTCCCCATCTTTTACAATATGACCAAGAGCTAGACATGTGCACTTGTTTTCCTATGAATATGATTTCTTCTGAAAATTTGTGTTTTTTCGTATTCATTTACTAAAACGTAAACGAAAGCCCTACAAACGAAATATAAACTAAACGAAATGGCAAATGCTGAATGCATTATCTTTTCATTTTGTTTTGTTCGTTTAATAGACTCTGTGCTGCAGGGGAATTAACTCCCACAGCACAGAGAAAATAACCCATATTAATAAAAGGGAGGTTAAATCCTCCTGCATGCCGCGAGTAGCCTAAACAAATTTAAAAGTACTAGTGACTGGGCAGTTGCTGCCCAGTCGCTAGTGCAATGGGGGGGACCTGGAACAATTTGAAAAGCAACCAATCACAGTGTTATGAGTCAAATTACACAGCATGGGGAAATTCCAAAGAACTGTAAAATGAGACAGAGCACTCTGATTGGTTGAATTTCAAGCCAACCAATCAGAGTGCTGTGACAGATAAATGTAGAGACTTACCTGTCAGTTTCTTCATTTACCTTTTAGAGCACTCTGATTAGTTGGCTTAAACCCACCAATCAGAGCGCTCTGAGCCTAATTGCTGGGCCGGGGAAGGCTTTATTTAGGGTGCTGTGCCCTCCATGGGTGAAGAAGGATTATTTTTTTACCGTCTGGATTTTTTTTTCTGCGGATTTTTGTTTTTTCGGTCTGTTTTTTTTTTTTAACAGTTGTGACGTGTATTATGGATTTTTATTTGGCCTTTTTGGGGCTGAAGAAAAAAAAAGAAAAGAAGAAAGAAGACATCAAATGGTAAGTATGACATTTTATTTTACAGGGTTAGTTTATTGCCCTCCCCCCTCACTATTATTATGGTGAGGGGGGCAGATAGGGCATTTTTATTTGGGAAGGGGAGTGACCTCCGGGCCCACAGTTAATTATTTTAGTCCGGATTTACACAATCCTGCCACTATTGAATTCCTTTAATTCCTTTAATTCCTTGAATTCCTTTAACAATGTCTGAAATTTGCAATTTGCTAAATTAACCTGGTTTTGCCCCGTTTAATACAGGACCATTCCTGATAATTAATATGTATGTGAATGAGTTGTTGATTTTAGGAGAAATCTGATTGCCATTATAGAATCAAGAAGGAAAACTCTACAATTGGGGGGTTGTACTTTCTTTTTGATCAACAGCAGAGGGATACGTTTTAAAGGTTGAATTTAATGGACTTTAGTAACACCAGTTTAGTTAGAAGATAATAAAGTTATGAGATGAATTATCAATAAAGAAATACGATGGCAAGATTATATTAAAACACACAAACAATAGTTTAATGATTACTCACACATTAGCATTAATGTAAAATGTTCTCAAGTTATATATATATATATCCATTTATATATCTTTATATAATTTTAAGCAACTTCTGAATAACATTCAACTTCAAATGCTTTAAATATTATATATTGTTGAAATAACATATCTAGCAGAAATAAATATATTGCACTTAAAAAGAAATTGCCATGAGCTGTCACTTAATAGAATTTTGACAAATACAGTTTAAGTTTTTGACATTAAATTCCTTTTTCAGAGAGTACACTCAGTTTCACAGAAGTTATGGCAAACACAACAAGAACTGAATGACACATAGAGCCAGCAAAGCGTGAAATGTTGTAGATATAGATTAAATCCAGTATATGGGTTCAGTTAACTTTGCTTCCGAGTTTTAGGATTTCATGATAAGTTGGCATATTGCTCCCATTCTCAAAAAAGGAAAGAATCAGAAATAACTCTTCTCTTTTAAGTAGTGATAAGCATGATATGTTAATTCTTATTGAATACCCCACTGCAGTCAAAATAATGACTTATAGAGGGCAAATAAATACAAAATAGTCTTTGAACTTTACAAATGTAATTATTCTGAACAAAATTTACAGAATGTTAAATAACCAGTCTTTCCCTTTGACGTGGTAGACCTAAATGGTCCTGATTTATTAAAGAGTTCATTCATATACATATATATTTTTGTTTATTTTTTTACTTTTAAAGTAAATTGTGTCTAATGAATGATGACTTAAAATCCTTAACCTTGATCTGCCATGACTGCAGTTTGCAAACATTGTATCCATGCCAATGTACAAAACATTTTGTGAAAATTGTCATATTGCTTTATAATAATTTTTCCATGTATTTACTTATTTTTTGTGTATGTATATTTTTGTCATTTCAAGAATAATAGTGCCTCAGTGGCAAGAAGTATTCTTGCTAACTCAGTCTATAGATAATAACATAAACACCATCATAGTAAACTCGAAGGGATCTAGATGTGAATGAATCAATGAACACTAGAATTCTGACTGCAATGATGAGTAGATGTAATAAAGGTTGAATGTGGTTGTGGTTGATTTCTATTTTCCCTATTTAGATAAAAGGCAGTAATGTGAGATGCCCTCAAACCCAGAGGGTTCGCAGGTAGAACTTTTAGAAAACCAAATAATCAAGCTATGTTTTTATGCACTGAAATATTCTTTAAGTTCGAAAATAAGAGTATAGTTCTTTAGCCAGTATTTTTGCAGGTATATCGAAAGGCCATGTTGCGAAAATTGTTGCTGATGTTTAAAATAAATAAAAACATTTTTATTCCCCAAAACTTTTTTCCCAATTTGAGTATTCAGATAACACAATTTTGATGCAATTTGTGAGATTTTCTGCAAATGAGCTCTTTCAATTTGAAGAAATCTGGTGTTAGCTAAAAAGCAAACAAACAACTAAATAGCATTGAAAATAAACCAGAATACAAAATGTAGCAATCCAGATATAATTACTAAAATGATCCCAAAATGCCTTTAAATTTGCACAGTTGGAGAAAGATAGTTGTTTACTTTAGAATTTAAAAAAAAATTATGCCTATCACATGTAAATACAGCCTATAGAAGGATCTCAAACCCTGTCTAACTACATGCCAGCTAGAGTGTGTCTACCGCACACAGAAAATAGGCAAGATAATTTTTTACCAATATAGCTATGGTATTTCCCATGTATGTCTACTGACTGGCTAAAATTATATAATGGAATGGAATGTATCAATTAAATTATAGTTCTTTCAGTGCATGTTTTCTGTTGTCATTCACATGTACATCAAGGAAAACCATAAAAGGCATTTTGCTTATATTCTGGGAGGCCCCAGTTCAAGGCAAAATCAAGTTCATTTGGAGGGGACATCGGTAGCTTTAGAGTTCAATTAACCAAATTAGCTTGAGTGATTTAGGTCAAAATCTACTACAAAATTGCAAAGCTTCATAAATAAAGTCAACAGTCATTTTATCTGAATAAAGACACCAGTAGAATTCTACATGTATATTGAAGCATAGAAAAGTATTTAATTTTACCAATTACCATCCTTTGCAACCTACTGCTTACTATTTTAGCATCTGTATATAATATTTAAAAATGTTCTCTTTAAAGTAAAAGTTCGATTTTTTTTGGTAATAGTATACTTTAAGGAGACGTATCACAAACACAGTTTATAGACAGTTTGCTAAGTTTAGTGATAACTTTTTAATGCATCTTTTAAACAAGTGTTGCCAATGTTGACTCAACAGAAATAGTTTCTTGATAAATAAATATTAAAATAAAATCTGAAACAGAAAATATACAATAAGAATATAGATAACTGCTTCTTGGAGCATCACTTTCAAATGTATCATTTTTGCAAAGGTAAGGTAATTGTTTTGGTGGCTTTGGTCTTTACCATCAACATTGATACCTGAAAAATACTTAAAATCCCAGGGTGCTGTCTGATAATGAATAACTCTTACCGGACGACCAAGCATATCCTATTCAATCAGCCTTAAGCATGTTCGCAATTCTCTGTAGTTGCTTGGAAACCAAGCAAGTGATGCACCTGTCTCCTGCACAACTGAAGAAAAATAGATGGTTGAAAATATTTGTAGACTTGTGCAAAAAGTTATTTGGAGTTGCTCATCCAAACCAAATTCATTTCTGGATTTACCTGTGGTGTTTTATTCAAATATGGTTTGGACGATCTCCTCAAAATTTTGCACAAGTTTAAAGTTTCCTTGCCTAAACTATTCACTCCTTGCCACAGGTAGAATTTTTGCAGAAATTAATAAGTTAAACATTTTACAGTCATACTGACATTACCCAACTATATTGTTTTCTTTATGCATTATTTTAGTACACGTGAAGAAAGTATTACAGCAAAATAAATATTGTTCCAAAGGATCCTGGTTTATTTTAATAAATTTTTTTTTAAAATTCCCATTTTTTTTAAGTCCACCAATCTCATGTTATTGCTAAACATTAGTGCTTCTGTGTTCCTAGGCTCTTGTACAGTGATTTATAATTCTTGGTTGGCGACACAAAAATGGGTCCTAATGATTTTAAAAGAACACTTCAAGCACCAACTCCACTAAATCCTGCTGTAGTGATTATGGTGCCAGGGGTGCCCAGTGCCTTTCCAGAGTAATCTGTCAACAGAGTAATCTAACAACGTACCCCGGTCCCCTGGGCAATCTGGGTTTTTCCTGCAGGAGAAGCTAGATGTCTTAGATGAGCTAAGCAGGTCCGATTTCAACCAATAAGCACAGCCCTGGCTAACTCAGAGCAGCTAAAAGGATTATTGTGCAAGGAACCTGGAGATAAGTTTTTAAAGCACTTTATAACGGTTTGACAAATCAGTCTGGGAAGGACCCAGGGCACTTGTGGCACCATGAATATTACAGCGAGCTGTAGTGTAGTGGATATGGTGCTCAGGGTTTTTCTATAGCTCTTTGACACCAGTAAAAGCGTATTTTTTTTTTTAACCAGAATTTTTTAATGTATATTATATGATTGGAGAATTGATCCCTGAACAAAGTCTAAGAAACATTAATCTAAAATAACTTTTCCCAAGATTGATATATTTTTTAAATTTTTTGAAATCATATTACCCCTATGATTATGATGTATGATTTCCCTTACACCTGTATATTTTTTCTTTTCTTTTTTTTTTGCAAAACTCACTAATTTAAAACAAAAAAACATGAAGGAAGGATAATATTTGCCATGTGCAATCAGACCAGGAACCACTACATGTCTCCATGATGTTCAGTAAACATCCACAACATGCTTTAGATCTCAATATATAATAAGAATCTGGTTTGAAAGATGGGGTAGAATAGCAGCTATGTTTGCCTCTAAAGATTATTGCAGTCAGTGAAAAAAGAAATTATATTACTTTATCTGTACAGTACTGCATGTGTAGCCTATTTTAGTTTAATTAGGCACTCCAGTTTATTTTAAGCAGCAGTGCATGCTTCCATAGAGATGAGCTTGGAACATTTTTGTGAATACCGAAACAATCAGTTCATGAATTGTTTTCTGATAGTTGCATTGTATCAGCGTTTGTTTTATGATTTTTTTGTGTTATCATTTTTCATTCTTTATAACCGCATATTGATCTACAGAATAAAACAGAGATAATGAGTTGAAAATAGAATCTGTTCTACAAACATTGAAACAATTGTGTAAGATGCTGGCATTGAAAAATAGTTGTTTCTTCCGTTAGTCCTTTTGAACTCAGTGGATGAAATGAAGCGTCATCCTAGAATTCATTAGCTTTGCTAATTCTTGCTAGTTCTGAGTTCACTCTTCCACCACATCTGATTCCATTTTGAATTGTGTAAATATATTCTTATGTGTGCTAAAAGAGAAGGTCTCACTAAAAGAGTTTGTTAAGATCCATTTTCTTTTTACAACTTATTTGTAATCGAGAGTTTTAACATTATTTTTTTATCGTGAAGGTTTGAGTAAGTGTAGATTTGGCTCCATGATTTGATACATGCAATACTGCCTCCGTATATCACGGGGATTCGTTTAACTTAAGCAGTCCAGTGCCCTTCTAGGTCCACTCTTTGTTAATAGTGCGCAATATACATGGTAAGTCTTTCTCCATTTTCCCAGTCTTTAGACGTCACAGGAATTTATTTATTTACTCCCTGTACATCACTCCAGTCATACAAATGGTGTCATTACTGCAGAGGAGTGTCGCAGTCCTTGAATAGCAGCATATGGGCCCTGCTGAAAGTAGTGATGGTACCTGGGCATGTGGAAAGAGGGGAATGTAGGGCCACTGCCTTGCATTGAGCTTGCTAGAGCTGAAGGCGTCAATGGCATGCCCAACCGACTGTAAGGAGGGAGGGAGCCTTGGATGGGGTGAGGAAGAGGGGTGGCCAGTGAAGCAGTGCTGGTGCCCAATGCTGTCAATGTTTGAGGGTGCTGGAACCCAGAAAATCCTGTAGTGGAAGTTACCCAGGAACTGAGGGACAAATTATCTGATGTTGTAAAAGCTGATCCTGCAAAGGAAACACAAATTCAAAGAACATTTGATATTAGACATCAGAGTATATATGTATATATCATACAACAGATTATGTAAATTTCACTACATATAAATACTGTCTGGTCATTTTTATTATTACATTCCTTACAGTGAACGTAGGGACAGCTATAATTAATACAAAACCAAAGCAACGTATCACCAGCATGATAACTATACCTCATCAGGTTAGGAAACACATTTCTCAGTTGGTGCGCAAGTCATTTACGTAGAAGAACAATATATAATACCAGCCCACTATCATACATGATACAGGGACAAGACTCTCTGTTACAGTTTTCCACAGAGTGGCAGTCAATACAAAATGATTCTTACAGACATGAATATTAGTCTCTATTGTCCTTTGATATACTAACCATTTTTCACACTGGTGAATGTTTGGAAATCTACACTTCCAAAAACAGCTGCCAATTCATTAGTAATATACAATTACTCTATTATTGTGTTTAATCCTTTTCATATTGTTGCATCTGAACTGTTCTTTAGAATGTAACATTATGTCTATGCATATGTGCCTACAAGCAAAGAATTCCTTGTTGGACACATGTTCTGTGTTTTTTTTTTTTTAATTTAAGTTTAAAAGAAAGCTTTTCTATTTTTAGATGGTTAATATACTTAATCTATTAAGAAATGTATTTTATGCACTTAAGGAGTAACAGAAAGTACAAGCACAGCTTTGCGTTATTGCAGCATTGATGGTGCACAGAGCACTCATAGCCTGCTGTCAGCTCTGAGAGAAGATAAGAACTGCAATGATTGATTTGTAAAAATCACTGTAGCTCTAAGGCTGCTCCTTGGAGCATCTATCAGACAGTTAGAAACACTCTGGATTGTCTGTGTTAATTTTTTGTGCATGTGGAATGTGAGAGCACACAACATGAACTGAGCTCTCCGCACACCATGCATGCACAGACTGGAGGCATAGCCTTGTTCAGTAAACAATGTACTGGGCTATGTATAAACTGATAGAGGTGGCATAGTTGCCATCACACTTTAGAACACTTCCACTCATCTTATTTGATGGGTGGAACTGCTCCAGGTGGATAAAATATGTTTTCAGAGACAGAGTTTGTGGGAGAAAAACGGATCGCACAGACCTGAATAACATGCTAGTGCAACTGCACACAGACCGAATTATAGTGATTTGTCTAGAAACATTTATAATAAGTATTTTTAGCTTTTGTGAGGCTGGTGAGATAGCTCAGTGGGCTAATGCATAATTAGTAGAATCTGTTCAATCCTTATTTGCCAGTTCAATTCCTAGCAGGATTGACTATGCCATTCATCATTCCAAAATAGATCAAATTGGGTTGTAGAAACATCCCCTGGATTTTGGACATACTTGGAAACCAGAGTAATTTAAGTATTGCTATTATTTTATTTTTGTAGGCATTATTCTGCATTATTTATTTAATGTGGTGTGTTAACAATAAAAGTAATTACTACCTCTTTAATGTAACATTTAATATAATATGAACATTACATGCAGGAAGTAGTTTTCATTTAATGCCCTGCTCCATGTTGGAGCTGCCTGCGGCTGAGTTATAACAGAACTACATTTAGCTTCCAGCTACACTTATGTTCTTGTCATCCTATTATTATTATAGTTAGATTAAGCTCACACAGGATAAGACACTGTCTCAATGAATACTACCGCACATTCATCCTGCCATAAATATTAAGTAGAACCACTTTCCATTGATAAGAGCTTGACATTTTCAGTCAATTAGAGAGAGTTTATCTCAGTAAATCAATAATGCTATTAATAGTCACCATGCTAATGAACTACTCAATGACCAAGCACATTACGGTAAATCTATAATTAGTGCATTGATTGTCTGTATACATTAGCTGCACTGCATGCATTCGTTCATTTTATTCAACTTTATTTAAATCTGTTTATCAGTCTCTTTCTGTCTGTTTGTCTACCTGATGATGAATGGTGCTCTCTCAGGTCTCTGTGCAATGTTTTATTGACCAAATAAACGTGTCAAAACAAACATATTTATCTGAACAGGTCATAGTATACAGTATTTAGGGGGGGGGGGGCGGTTATGTTCTCTCTAATTAAGATGGCCATGTCAGACAAGAAAGAAACACTAATATCTTTAATGTAGTAATAATGGCTGGTGTGCCTTTGCACCATCCCACCATTCATTGTTAAACCAACACAGTAGCTGAGGACCCTAGTCCACCATTATACCATAAGAAAACAGTTTAATGGGGAATCGAGGGATGGCATCCATGCACTTCAGCCATCATAACCAGAGAAGGATTAATATACCACAGGTTCTATGCAGGTGACCATACTGAACCCTTCCCCATTACTTTTTTTATAAAGTGCCAAGCTAATTCATGGTTCCGGGGCTCCTGTCTAACCCCTGGCCCATAAACAGCCACCTAGGGTCACTTTCTGGGTTAATCCCAGATTGGCCTATTTGACTGTGTATGTATAATTATAAATAGGAATCCTGACATGTATACATGGATGATTGGTTAGCAACAGCAGGACATTATGAAAGAAACAAAACCTATGTCTATTTTCAAAGAAACAAAATGTATGTTTAATATGGGTTAGTCTTAATTAAAGGGACATTCCAGACCTCTAAAATAATTCGGCTTGCTGGAGTGATTTATGCGTTTATGCATATTTTATTTTTCAAAAAGTGCAGATTATAATTGAAATTGGCACTTTTATAAATTAACCTTATTACACTCCCTGGCTGTCAATAAGATGTTTAGCTCAATGTAGCTAAACTCAAGAGACAGGCAATTGCTCAGGGCACTTGCCTTGCAAAAATGCCTTGATGTATATTTTTATTTGGGGGGCAGGGGGATTGGGCAGTGGAATGTCCCTTAAATTATAAAGAATCTCTTTCTGGTTTAATGTGGCTTTGAGAAGAATGAGAAGAAGATACAAAATTAATTTTCTTTTACCTCTGCTTTGCACAACCTGCCCATCTTCCCCAAGAATATCATCCTCTCCTCCGTATGTTCGAATAGGAGATCTGGCATATGAATGCTTCTGAATAAGGTTTTCAACACTTTCCCTATTTAAGAAAGAAAAAAAACCACCACTGTAAAATGTGTGACAAGATATCTACCAATACTGGCTTCGGCATGACAGACAAGGGCACAATACAGAAACGGTGAAATGATCACAAAATCACTTTAACAATATTACCCAACTTTTTACATAGAATAAACATATATTATTTATTAGCATTTACTAGTGGGAAGATGTATCCTATTAAATGTGCAATGCCATATGAAATCATATTTCCTATGAGACTTTCAGGAAGCCTGGGGACCCACAAAAATGTAGTCATTTTGTGGACCACAGGCTATCCACTGACCTGACTACTAGCCTTATTAATATTTTATGAAACTCTGGTGTAAAAAAAAACAAGAAAAACAGTTCCACAGAAGGATCTTCTGAAAAAATGACTGACAGTTATCTAATTTCTTGTAACACCTCCCTTTCCATTAACCAAGTATCTCCTTATATTAAAAAGATACATACCAATTAAATGTAAATAAAGTGTGTATGCAGTAGTTTCCTGTTCAGATGTTGACACACCACTCAGACTAACGATCACAGTGAAGGGTAATCACATGTGCTACATTCAATACGGAGGATGTATTAAAGGGACACTATAGTCACCTGAACAACTTTAGCTTAATGAAGCAGTTTTGGTGTATAGAACATGCCCCTGCAGCCTCACTGCTCAATCCTCTGCCATTTAGGAGTTAAATACCTTTGTTTATGAACCCTAGTCACACCTCCCTGCATGTGACTTGCACAGCCTTCCATAAACACTTCCTGTAAAGAGAGCCCTATTTAGGCTTTCTTTATTGCAAGTTCTGTTTAATTAAGATTTTCTTATCCCCTGCTATGTTAATAGCTTGCTAGACCCTGCAAGAGCCTCCTGTATGTGATTAAAGTTCAACTTAGAGATTGAGATACAATTATTTAAGGTAAATTACATCTGTTTGAAAGTGAAACCAGTTTTTTTTTTCATGCAGGCTCTGTCAATCATAGCCAGGGGAGGTGTGGCTAGGGCTGCATAAACAGAAACAAAGTGATTTATCTCCTAAATGACAGTGAATTGAGTAGTGAAATTGCAGGGGGGTGATCTATGCACTAAAACAGCTTTATTTAGCTAAAGTAATTTAGGTGACTATAGTGTTCCTTTAAGGGACTTTGAAATTATTATTTGAGTACTAATCTTTCTCATAAATAATTTAAATGTTGAATAACTTACATTCTAACACTAAATAATTATTTCAATCATTGAAAAAACAATATTGTGTTAGGAATACAAAACTGTGTGCCTAACAATATAGTATTCGGCCTCTGCAATAAACTATTGGATCGCTCCCTCTACCCCAATGATTAAAGGGTTATAAACCCCCTTTGTCACTTACCTCTTTCCAGTGCTGGTGACGCCTTTTAAAAAAAAAAAAAATTTTAAACCCCTTATCTCTCTCATGTTTAGGGAGCCCTGTCTATTTATTTATTTGGTTTTACTGTTTATGTTACATTTTGAGACATTGTGATCAGTGGCGTAACTACTGAACAGAGGGTCCCAGTGGAAGATTTTTTCCTTTAACCAAAGATATATCATTTTAGAGTTAAAACATTTAAGACACAGAGAAAGGAAGCTCATTATAACCTTACCTATGAAAGAGCACAGATTCTTTAATATCCCTTTAAGTAAATATTTTATGTAAACATCTAATTGTATATGTGCATATATATATATATATATATATATATATATATATATATATTATGCATGAATGGTTCTATTTGTGTGTGTTTAAAGAATCTGCAAGGATACCTAACAACTTAATTGAAATGAAGTTGCTATGGTGCCAAGAAGTCAGTAGTGCTTTGTTACACGAAGGTGTTAACCAATTCATAATCTGTTAAACCCAAAAGGTTGCTATCCAGTGCCGGATCTCCCTATCCTCAATGGCATCTGCTTTCTCCAATCCAGATTGAGGAAGCACAGAGGTCCATTGGGTGGGTGGGTCGCTGATAATTGGCTTAAATCGGTCAGCTGACACTCTAAGCCAATCAGTAACCAGCCATTCATGAAAAAGATTTGTATCTGTTTTATGAATGGGGATGTACTATAATTATGTAAGGGTGGATCCATATTCATAAATACTAAATAACTATGTAAAGTCAGAGCCATAGTCCTAGCTTCTGACTAACTATGTAGAGGTGGAGCCAAAATCATAAAAAAATGGAAGATATTAAATCAGTTTTTATTTTATAATAAATCAAAAGGTCTTTGTGGAACGATACATAATGTGCATGGTGTTAATAACTCTTACTATGGTCTAATAACAAATAGCTGTCTGATGAGTCAGAGTAATGTTTAAATGTATGAAGGTATCAATGTCCTACAAAATTTATATTTTCATTTCTACATTGGTAATAGTATATCACTCTTTTTGTCTTATGAATTACATATGGTGAGTTAGAGAGAAAGACACTACTCTTATTTTGGAGTAGTGATAAAATAAGGTTTAGTTTTAATGTCAGAACTAAGTCATAATAACTTATAATTGCGCAAGCATGTCAAAACTGGCAAAACAACATTTCCCCGATGAGTAATAAAAAGAATCTAAATCAACTGGTTGCTTAGTTTAGCTAATGGGTATTCTCCAATTTTTCAGATTTAATGCAATGCTGCCCCACAACCAGCCCTCCCTCCACAATATAAACAAGAAGGACTCACTGATTAGGTGACCATAGAGAGCTTCGAAATGGGATGTGGGGCGGATACATAAATTGCAAACAAAAAAAGAAGACAGGGTAAGCATTGGACTTATAATAATAATTCAAGATAGCTAAATTGAAAAAAAAATTTAATTCTTTTAAAATAGTATGTAACAAATGATATGGGAAAGTGAGCCAAAAATCACAATAATAATGTCTATAAGTAATAAATGTATATTGAAAGTGGTAATTTAGTGATATTATCATCAATTATATTTAGAGATAAAGACATTTAAATAAAACAATGATCATATGTATGCATGCAATGCATAGCAATAAGTGTGTACCATACATTTTACACCTCTTGGTAATTTAGCTAAAATGTGTCCTCTTATTTAAAATGAACATTTAGAAAGATTTATCTTAATCAATTAGAATCTCCAACACTAGTCATTAGGAGGTGCAAACATAATGGGTTTTCAGGGGTTGACACAACACTTTTCTCAGGGATTTACATATTAATTGATTACAATATAAGATCACTTTTATGACCCTAGATAAATAAATTGGACCTCTTGTTTTTGGAATTACTGTAAAAAAGACTCATATTCCATTTATGCCACTAGATGGGGCTCATTGAAAACTATTTTAATTACATCTAAAAGCAAAGATGTAGCATTAGATAATAAATGGATGGCTTTACTTTGTGACAGTTAATGAGGTAAAATCTATTACTGCTTAGTTTATTATCTGATTTCTGGGGGCACTGTAAGCATTTCCAGTAAATGTCTAATAAAGTTAGCAGAGAAGAGGGACACCAGAACAGCACTGAGCCTGGATCAATCTACTATCACCGTTCAACATTATCAGCACGTCAACATGAACTTTTTTTTTTTATATATATATATATATACATATCTTTTTTTTTTTTTACACTTGTCAGGCTCTTGGTTTTGAAATGTACAGTAATACAGACTTAGTAGCGTGTTATAAAACATGCTTTAATCTTTAAAGATTTTAGATTCCTAACTCCTGACTCAGATACTTCACCCTGCCCTTTTATTTTGTAATCTAATGCAGAGCGAAGCAAAAGCCTTGATCTAATCTAAAAAAGTCCAGGTTTTTACGAATATGTCTGCTTATACACAGTTAGTTGGTAGTTCTACCTTGTTTAGTCACAGTTTTAAGATTTAAACATGTTTGTCTATCTGAAAATGTCTGAGAGCTTCCATTGATTCCAATAAAAGGGTTAAATAAAAATGTATGTGTTTTAGAGTCCTGCTACTTCTGTCCTACACAATATCACGGTTGGAAGGCAGCCCAAAAATAGGAGATATCATAAGTAAGTGGAGGTGTGGAGAGATGGAACACATAGCTTCAAAATATCACAGACAACCGACAGGGCTCATAATCACAGAGAATGCGTTTGTTATCTGTTAGTGACATTGCTAGAACTGGTAGTTACCTTATTAAACTACACTATGGAACAGTCTGTTGACTTCATTTTAATGCTTATTTATATCATTTTGTTGAAAGGAATTTCTAATGAAGATTCCATTTCAGATTAAAAATCTGGACATTTAAATGACTTTGATCTTAAATGATAAGAAAAGGATTAGAGGGGGTATAATTTTCCTGAATTATGCATATTGATAATAGATTAAAGCCTGCATACATACATTGCACTTCAATTCAATGCACATTTTAATGCCATTATACAGAACACTGGTGAGACCTCACTTGGAGTATTGTACACAGTACTGGAGACCGTATCTTCAGAAGGATATTGATACCTTAGAGAGGGTTCAGAGAAGGGCTACTAAACTGGTTCATGGATTGCGGGATAAAACTTACCAGGAAAGGTTAAAGGATCTTAACATGTATAGCTTGGAGGAAAGGCGAGACAGGGGGGATATGATAGAAACATTTAAATATATAAAGGGAATCAACACAGTAAAGGAGGAGACTATATTTAAAAGAAGAAAAACTACCACAACAAGAAGACATAGTCTTAAATTAGAGGGACAAAGGTTTAAAAATAATATCAGGAAGTATTACTTTACTGAGAGGGTAGTGGATGCATGGAATAGCCTTCCAGCTGAAGTGGTAGAGGTTAACACAGTAAAGGAGTTTAAACATGCATGGGATAGGCATAAGGCTATCCTAACTATAAGATAAGGCTAGGGACTAATGAAAGTTTTTAGAAAATTGGGCAGACTAGATGGGCCGAATGGTTCTTATTAAAGGTCCACATTTAATTTCTATTTTGCAATGTTGTTATCAGTCAAAGGCTTGCGCAAGGGGCGTGCCCTAATACAGAGCCATATTGTCATATTGTCCTCTCTTTAGGTCTGTATGAGCAGTTTTGAATGAGTTTGGTTAGTTACGTTTTTCTAAAAAATATTATGGCTAACTCTGTATATAACTGGTTGCAAGTAAAGCAAAAATGTATTTTCATATTTAAATTATCTAAACTTTAGATGGTAATGTTCGTTGGGTGCCCACACTAGTGCAATATGCTGTGCATGCCTATTTTGTCAAGTCAATATGTTACAGCAGTGAATAAACCCTATCTTTTCTAGCCTTAGACCCTAATCAGCCTGTCATCTCCTCCAACTGTAATAATAATGTTAAAGGGCACTATAGGCACCCAGACCTCTTGATCTCATTGAAGTGGTCTAGGTGCAGTGTCCCTGTTGCCTTAACTCTGTAATGTAAAACACTGTCGTTTTTGAGTGTTAAGACTGCCTCTAGTGGCTGTCTGCCAGACAGCCACTAGAGGCACTCCCTGTAGTTTCACAGAGTTTGCATGAGGACATCCAGTGTCTTGTATATCCCCATAGAGGCAATGCTTTCCTATGGGGAAGCTCTAATGTGCGTGTGGCGACTACCGGACATGTGCATTCAGTCCCTCACATTGGCTGACGTCGGTGGGAGAGAAGCTCTACCCGGCGCTGAGGGACATCAGCGCTGGAATCGGGTAAGTGTAAAAAGGCTTTTTTTTATCCCTTTATTTGCCATGGGTGAGGGGTGCAGAGGGCACTATAGTGTTAGGAATACAGCTTTGTATTCCTAACACTAAAGTTTTTTTTTAATTTTTTTTAAATAGGCAATAGCAACAGCAATTACCAGCAACCTACTTAATCCATGACTGCAGATAAAATGTTACAGAGAAAATGGTAACTATTAATATCACTAATGGAAAGTGCAGAAAAGTAAAATGAATTTTATAGCAGCACTTTGAGGGGTGAGAGAATGTTCCAGATAGTGAAAGAAACAAAAACAGGAACATTCTTAGTAAAAACACGGATATATAGCATAATAGAATTAATCAAATGCACAATATTATGGGGAAATATGAGTTGTTCTGCCATTCTGTAAACTAAACTCTCTTTCTCTCATCTTAGACATTCCATCTTAAAATATTTATACAGTTGACCACATGCCATTTATATACTGGTGTGATAAAACTGCACTTAGCCTTAGGTCAGTCACACATAAAATTCATCTTGAAGCTTTAAATAAACTTATATATTCATAACGTAATATTCAATTAGTCCAGAATAGTGCAATTTCTGTCATCATGTCATATAAAGATGTGTTTTTGCCTCAGATCTCCCATAGAACAGAGCTGTGTGTATGTGTATTGTTTACAGATAGGAGCTGATTCCAATCAGTTACAAGAGGCAATCCAATTATTCAGTGGTTTAGTGCATTAACTGACTCCAGACTAATTCAATTTCTCAAGTTCTCAAAAGATCAATTGATTTGATTTGTTTCTTCCCCAAAGGCTGTTTAGGGGAGAGGCTGCATTAAACATCTGAAAATTAAACCTATAGGCCATTATCTTGTTACAATGAGATGTTGAAAATCCGACTTGGATAGAAGATATATAATTAAAAAGTCTATATAAAAGTATATATGTGAATATTTATACAATGGTCAGTTGGCAAATTGTCCTTAATATTGATGAAATATTTGGTAATATATTGGATTTACTTAAAGCAAAATTTTAGTGTGTGTTTCTAGTAAGCCGAGTTACAAACATAGGTGGGTTAGTAGCCCAAATAGCTACCCATTCCACTTCCTATAGGCGTAATTAGGGGCAGTCCTGATCACAAGGGGCAGACACATCTGTTGGAGGACTGGTTGTAACAAAATGTCACTACCTCACACAAAGATGTATTTGACCCATTGGTTTACTATGTGTCCCTGAGCCGGTGTGGCTAATCTGTCAATTTCATAATTTATAAATCTCTGAAGCGCTAAAGTGTTTTTGAACTGTAGTAAATGCATTTCTTTTTATATAAGCAACTCAAGAAGTCAAAGAAATACTCAATGAAATAAACATCTCCTTCAAAAAAGATGGGACAAAAATTGGAGTGCTTTCCTAACAACTAGTAAAGCATTGGTGAGGCACCCCTTGACAATGGCTTTTAGTCACTAGATCAGGAGTAGGTAATCTTATGTCTGCCCCTGCAATAGGTCAACACAGTGATCCAGTTATGGGACAACTTCACCTAAAAAAAAAACTAAACTTCTCAATTTTCCATTTTCTGAATCTGAAATAATCTGGTAGCAATTACTAACTACACTATGTGAGCACTGATTCTATTTAACCAAGAAGAGATCAAAGTCTAACTGCCTTGTCGCTAATAATGCTAACATTAGTTGCATATTTGACTAAGGTCCAATATAAGATGAATTATCTCCAATATATGCTGCACACGAATGATAAAAAAAAAAATTTTCAGCTTGAACTAATTGTTTCAATTTTGTCATAAATTATATCTAAAATTATGATTTCACCCCAAATTTATTTTAGATTGTCATCCTTCTTCCCTGACATTGATGCTGTTCTTTAGATACCTGACTCTGTTCTAGCCCAAGCAAAGAAAAGCAAATATGTATATTGATATATGCAAGGGGAAGGAGTTATAATTGTGTTAAAGGGATTCTCCAGTGCCAGGAAAACAAACCCGTTTTCCTGGCACTGCAAAATCCTGGAGTGCCCGCCTCCCACCCCACATCGCTGAAGGGGTTTAAAATATCTTCAGACACTTACCTGAATCCAGCGCCGATGTCCCTCGGCACTGGTCATGTTCCGCCCACGCTCCTCCGGACGTCGGCGGGGGAGACCTAATGCACGTGCATTAGACCTCCCCATAGGAAAGCATGATTCAATGCTTTCCTATGGGGATTCCGGTGACGCAGGAGGTTCTCATGCATAGTGTAAGGACATCCAGCATTGTTTAAAAGTCGTCTAAGAAGCCGGAATCCCTCTAGTGGCTGTCTGGTAGACAGCCACTAGAGGAAGACTTAACCCTGCAAGGTAATTATTGCAGTTTATAAAAACTGCAATAATTACACTTGCAGGGTTAAGGGTGATGGGAGTTGGCACCCAGACCAGTTCAATGGGCTGAAGTGGTCTGGGTGCCTACAGTGTCCCTGTACTGTACTGTTAACCACACCATACCTCCAGTGTCCCTATTTAGGAGGGAGGGTCCCTATTTTTGACCCAAATCTCCATATTGTTGGTGCTCCATGTTGTTGGTGTGTCTGAGTGTATAACACAGCTTCACAGCAATATTACTCACAGTAATAGGTCTTTAAAGTATATTGAATAAATGTTTAGAATTCAGTCTGTGTAAACAAGGTACATTGTTCTTGTTCTAAATTACATATTGAGTGTGTAAATTATTATTAGTAATTCTCCTAAAACCTAAAAATGTGTGTGTGTCAGTGAGTTTGTGTATGTCAGTGTATGTGTATCTGACAATGTGTGTCTGTCAGTGAGAATGCATGTGTTGGTTAAACAGTATGTGTGCCAGTGACTGTGTGTCTGTCAGTGAGTGTGTATTACTGAGAGCAAGCATTTGTGAGTGAAATTGTGTGTTGGGTAAATAGTGTTTGTGCTGATGAGTGAGTGTCATGTCAGTGATTATGTATCAGTAAGAGTGTGTGTTGGTCAAACAGTGCATGTGCCAATGATTGCATTTCATGTCAGTGAGTGTATGTTAGTATATGTGTATCACTGAGAGCTTCTCTGATACTTGCACCGGGGCCCTGTGATTCCTAGTTATGCCCCTGATACCCTAGTACCAGTGGTGTATCCTGGTTTTGTGCTGCCCTAGGCAGGACAAAACTCAGGCGCCCCCAACCGCCCCTGCGCGCGCGACCCCCACCCATCCCTTCCCCCCCGTTCGCGTGACCCCTCCCATCCCTTCCCCCCGCCTTCTAAATACACACACACACTCACTAGCAGAGACACACTCACTCACAGACACACACACTCACAGACACACTCACTAACAGACACACACACTCACTAACAGACACACACACTCACTAACAGACACACACACTCACTAACAGACACACACACACACTAACACACACTCACTAACAGACACACACACTCACTAACAGACACACACACACACTAACAGACACACACACTAACAGACACACACACTAACAGACACACACAATAACACACACTCACTAACAGACACACACACACACTAACAGACACACACACACACACTAACAGACACACAGACACACACACTAACAGACACACACACACACTAACAGACACACAGACACACACACACACTAACACACACACTCACACTAACACACACTCACACTAACACACACTCACACTAACACACACTCACATTAACACATGTACTTTTTAAACCTCCCCTCCCCTCCAGCCTCCTTACCTTTGGGAGTGCTGGGGAGGGAAGGGGTTCTCTATCTCCCTGGTGGTCCAGTGGCTGCTGGGCGGGCGGCTGACGAGGGAGCTCTTCCTGTGAGCTGACTGCTCAGCTCCCTCGCACGCCGCTGCAGAGTGAGGCTGGGAGCCGGAATATGACGTCATCTTCCGACCCAGCCTCACTCTGCTGAGCTGAGTCAGCTCACAGGAAGAAACTCGTCAGCCGCCCGCCCGCTCGCCAATGCAGCCCGGTGCCCAGCATGTCTGTTAGCCGCGAGGCTAACATGACATTTGCCCTGGGCATTTGGGGGGCGGCTTTTTTTGCCGCCCCCTGAAAAATGCCGCCCAAGGCAAATGCCTTGTTTGCCTCGCGGCTAATACGCCCCTGCCTAGTACCTGTGTACTAACCACTATACACTGCCCAATAGGTTGTCCAATAAAGGGACACTCCAGGTTCCAAAACAACTTAACCTAAATGAAGTTGTTATGGTACCAGGAGGCCCCTTCTCGAACGGTTTAACCACAAAGTTACCTCCAGTGATGATGTCCACACAAAGGCAGCATCTGACTTCTGAACTTTCAGTTTCAGAAAGCGCAAGTAGGGGTACCACTGATTGGCTGAGAGTGGTTAACTGATGCTCTCAGCCAATCACTGACTCCGCATTCACAAAATTGGCTTAAAAAAGGTACGCTTCTCTCCAAGCCAGTTTTGTGAATGGGGAGTCACTGATTGACTGATAGTCTGATTCCGCCTGGTGGCATGGACATCACCACTGGATGCAACTTTGGGGTTAAATCGTTCGAGAATGGTTTAACCCCAAGAGTGCCTTCGAGGGCCTCCTGACACCACAACAACTTATTTTAGATAAAGTTGTTTTGGTGCCTGGAGTGTCCCTTTGACTACAAAAATGTCCATATGTTAATTTATCCAGAACAGTTTGATATATTTTTGTTAATACTTCAGAGGAAAGAAGAACATGCAGATAATGATATAAAGAAAATAGAATACTTATTTTTCCTTTTTCTAAACTTGTGCATGACATCTTTATATGATAAAGATAATTATTCCAATATAAAAAGATTTAACTTTCAAAAATCTAAGTGCTCTACATAATTACTCAATTTTCTTTTTTCTGTAGCCAACAAAATAAACCTATGAAAGCACAAATTTGGATTATCAGCAAACCTACCTGCCACTTTCCATCTTAGTCAGACTACTGAAAGGAAAGTTGTAATTGTGGAATGGATGGCTGAATAGATAAAGATTTGCAATATTGTGTCTGTTTGTGTATATTTTACAAATAGAGATTGGCCGAGTTTATTTTAACCTTTATTTCTTAAATCTTCATTGCTTAAAGGAACCCTCCAGCATTAGAACCAATATGCCGCAAGCTGAAGTGCTTTATGGAGTTTGGACGTTTATTTTTTTAATGTTAATTGTGAATGTTTTAAAAGTTTATTGTTTGCTGTTAGTTTCTCCAGTGATTACAATTAGCTTTGCGATAGACAGACAGAGAGAGAGAGAGAGAGAGAGCGTGCTAGATTTATAGATAGATTACATAGCTAACCCTACATGTGAGAGAGTAAACCTGGCAGTGTAACCTTTATCTTATGTCATAAATTCAATCATTTTAGAAACTGACCTTTTCTAATAATATAACTGCTGATTTCAAATGTTAAATGAACAGTATGCCTACTTTTCAATAACATTCATATATCTATATTGTAGAGCATAATGCAAACAATTATGTAGCATGACTAGTCTTGCAATCATACAGCTTGAATTTAATTATTAAACTTTTATGCATAAAGTTCTGGAATAGAACACACCTTAACAATAGCTAAGAACACGTTACGATATGTCATCTATATTCTTTAGGAGAGCTACAGCAAAGAAGATCTGTAATATGTGATATATAGTGCATGACACCATTTTGCTGGTTGTGAAGGTTCTTTTTTGGGCTGAACCACCTCTTTTACAGGTTATCAGCTCCTTTTTGTCTGAGAATACCTTCTTTATTCACCTGAAGGAGATAAAATGGGGATATCTCCAGGGGAAGTCCTAGAACTGCTCCCATTTCCCATGCCCACCAAGCATTACATTAAGAGAATTTTTGTCCTTCCACTACCCCTTTGAGCAGTGGCAGAGGATTCAGCCCTCCTTGAGCCGCTTATTAACTCTTCTTGCAGGTTGTACAACACAACAAACAGAGAGATATTTATGGTTATATGTCTTCTAAATTATAATGTTATTGCTTAGATAAAATCTCTTGAAACCTATTGGGCATTGGATACCTATGACCACTCATGGAACTTTCATGATAGAAATTTAATGTCTGCAGAAAAGAACTATAGAATAAAATGATTTAACTAACGTAAAACCATTATCCCATTCAAACTTATATTTCTATTATACAATTATTAATTTGTATTATATGTAAATTATACATTAGAGTAATACACAGTTTACTGCAGAACGAGGAGACAAACAAATAAGTGAAGTAAATAAGTGAGTAAATTAAATTATTACCTCTCAATGTCAGTTAGTCTGGATGAGTCCCGAAATCCTTTGGCAAATGGGTTGCTGTCAATTTTCAGCTTAGTTATCTAGAAAGATATTATTTCAATGATTAAAATTATAATCCCAATGGATGTTGGTGTAGTTCAATGCAGTTTATTTAGCAAGCTGAGTGGTGAGCAGGACCAAATTGTAGGTGCACAATTCTCTGGTCCCCTACTCTCTCCAAAAACAATCCAGTTATCTGTTACCAGCTCCATGACTTGGAGGAAGCACAAGAAAGTCAGGAGGTACTTATCTACTCTTTCTCATCACAAAATGCAATTATCACGCAAAATTAAATTTTTTATCGAATACATTTGAAAATTAATAAATGCAACTTTACATATATCATAACATTTCAAATAAGGAAATAGGGACACCTTAATGCTAGGGAAGTTAGTAGGAGTGTCGCCAGGGGTGGAGTTGTTCTAAGAAATTTTAGATGACTTACTAAACAATGTATGGAACTAAAATGTAACTTAGAAGAAGAACAATGTATCTTATTTACACAGACTGATTTCTAAACACATCTAATGTAGTTTAAAGATGCATTACTGTGAGTTGTATTGATGTGGAGTTCTGTTATACACTCAGACACACCAAAAATATGGAGCGTTGAGAAAAGAGAGACATTTGGATAAAAACAGGCATAGAGAGATCTGGGCCCAAAACAGGGAATGTAGCTCCTAAACATGGACCCTTGGGTAGCATGCAGCTATAGTCGAGACAGACAGCAAAATGGGAGAGACACACGCCTGAAGGCTGCTACGTACTTTGTCTTCTAGTAAATCCGGCCCTAGTGGTAAGGACATGCACTATTTACTATATTCTTACTGAAGGGGAAATATTACGTCACATGGTTTTTAATATTATGCATTCTTATCTCTATTGTTAATAAATATGCAAAATTAAATTAAATGTACATATCCACACCTTTTTATCCTGCAATGGGTGCCTCCATTTTAGCTGCCTGTCAACAATATTTGCTAAAAAATTCTGTCCTTTGCCTATGGCAATCAGCCATATTTCTATTTCTTCTCTTCAGATGGAATGTTTACCCAGGTTTTACCTTGTCTTAACGGGATTGTGATGTAATTTGATAAATCTTTAATATAAATCTAAAAAAAAAAATGGACCATCTCATAGAAAATTGTGACAGTTTTCCTTTAAGCTTCTTATTTGAAAAAAAAAAAAAAAACATAAAATTCTGATTAATCTAATGCAGAGAAAGGTGTCCTAAACTCTCCCTTTTATAATTTTACAAATACTTGCTATTTGATCGTGGCAAGTAGTAACCGTTCCATTGTTTCCAACATATAGATATGGGTACTAATTCCATCAGGGTTTAAAAAAATTTCTCTCTCTTTTATAACTATAGTTTTGCTAACATAGAATAACCTTTCATCAATGAATATGTCATTTGACCTGCTCTTCAACTCTGTCTCCGCGGCTTGACTGCTCGGATTGAAACCTGACCTTTAAATTTTAAATTATGAGATAGTTTGTTGAAAGTGTAATGTGTTTATCTTTTATCTAATAAGAACAGAATAAATTGAATCAGATTCTTGGCAACAGCAGAGAAAAATGGAAGAAAATGTCCTTAATTCAGACGTATAAATAATATTGTGTTTTGTCTTTGGGAACATATGTGCTTATTGCTTAACAGTCATAAATAATATGCAAAAACATGTCTGACATATGCTGTATGTGCAATAAATTCCAAAAACAGAAGCACTGAAAATGAATTAGCTTTATTGGGTGGCTCTGTCAATTAAGTATCTTTATATCTCATCTGGCTATCTTCCTGTTTGATATACAAATGCTGATGGTTACTCTAAATAAATGGGTTTGTTTTGGAGGTTTACTCATTTTTTTTTTAACCAATGTCTTAGGTATGCAATAAACTCACCAGTTGATTTTGGTAGGCCGTAACAGCAGTAAAAACGGTTTCTTGAAAGATAAATGTCCTGAATTCTTCAGATTTCAGGTTCAGCAGAGAAGCTGTGTGGTCTTTCTTTTTAATAATATGAACTCTTGGCTGGTATTTATGCATGGAATTTAGGATAATCTGAAAGAAAACACCAAGCATATTTGTATACAAATTAAATGCTGAAGAGGTTTAACTGTCATATTGCATAACAAAATCATTATTTTAGGCCAAGAATACTTTGGTTATAGAAATATTGTCATGACTGCAAAAAAAAGGAATATGTGTGTGGAAGTTGATTTATTTTTTGGGTCCTCAAACTAAGAAAAAAAACAAATATTTGCCTTGTCACTCCTTAAAAAAATATAGTATTTTGCAAAAGTCTAGAAAATGCATAGTCACGACAAGAAAGACAAACACGCCACATAGGAAACAAGCACATGGGTGGCTATGTACAACTTACACTGTTTTTGTTTAAATATGTTAATAATTTATGCCTTTGTTAAACCCTTTGTTAATTGGGATGTATTAGCAATGGCCATACGAGGCACCCCCAATGGCCACAAAAGCCGTGCATACTGATCAAAGACACTATCCATGGTTATGTATTGACAATACAAAGATATAGATGGTAATGTTGAATACCATGGAATATGTCATGTCACAATTCTTTATGCTACCAGCGTTATCCCATATCCCTTTTCTTTTCTGTACCCCAATTATTATTTTGCATTTCAGATAAAACAATAACAATTGTCAAATTGGAAAAAAATATTTAGTATTTTGCTTGATTTATAGGCTCTTCCAGCTTCCTGATTGCCTACCTTTCTGGGATGGATGGGTACTATCATCCCTTCATCCCTGGTGTCATTGCATGAGAAGGATGGCAACGGAGACAGGAAGACAATTGCAAACATGGCCACTAGCATACAGGATTGTTTGCTGCAGCCTCACATCATTCTTCTGCCAATTAAAATAGCAGGGATGTGTTGGAATGTCTTTTGGCACAGTAATGGAGGAGTGAAGCAGCAGGCGGGTATGGTATAGAGCCTTTGTTACTTTGCCATCTTATAACTGTATGGGTTTGTGCCTACACTGGTGACCCGTAATCTCAATATTCTGCAGACCTGGCCCAGTCATTGGAATATTTCCTGGTAGACTGAAGTATCTCTGGTTGAACAGGCTGCCAGACTATTACAAGTATGTATGATGCCTCTGGAGGTGTTAATAAGTGGACTGCAGAGTGAGATGAGACATTGCTCATGGCTTTCATAACCAGGGGTGTTGCCAGGGGTAAGCTGACAAGGGTTGGAGCTCCGAGTGGGGCCCTAAAAATCCTCCATTATAATTTTGCCACCATTTCATTGTTATGACTAAAAGAGAGAAATAACACCTCTTTCTGCATAATTAGTGACAATGCACTGGCAAATGCACCATATTTGGAATTAATTTAACATCACAGAGTGGAGATATTGCTGTAGGTGATGTTAATACAGGAGGTGTGGAGTGAAAATCAAAAGTATAAGTATTTATAGAGCGTGGAGTGTAAGTATAGATTTATATAATACTCTGATTTAACAAAAATTTTAGGGTTTAATATAGGATGAGGAATAACGTGAGTGAGAAGACCCTGGTCTGTAGCGAGGCCCGTGTTCATAACAAGTCAAATGCAGCAGTGAAGTGGTAGCAGTGAAGTCGTGGATATGCACAGGGCCGGATTAACATAGGGGCTGATGGAGCTGCAGCTCCAGGCCCAGGCCCATGGAATAGGCCCATTGATTTTTTTTTTTTACAGTTTTTTTTTTTCACACACTAATCTTAGGGATTCCACCTGGCTTTTATTTTATTGGCACAGCCAGTATTTGAGGCTGCCTGGCTGGTGCCAATATTGCAGTGATACTGGCAATATAAATGCTGGTATTTTTCTCAGTATAAATGGAAATTACTATGCAATACCAGCACTGGCCAGTAGAGGTCGCTGTATGTGGAGACAGGCAGGGATAGGAAATTCCAGCATATCCCTCCCTGCCTATCTATACTCACTGATCTGCAGGGGTGCAGCTACAGAGAGTCCAGACAGCAACTCCCACCCTGCAGAGACAGCCTACAGCTCAGGGAAGTAAGGGATGGGGGAAAGGCTGCAAGGAGACATACACTGAGACACTAAGGGACATTGGGAGACATTATGGCAGACACTGAGACACTAAGGGACATTGGGAGACATTATGACACAGACACATGGGGACACAGTGTCCCCATGTCTCCCAGCCAGTGTCCCTGGTGTCTCAGTGCCTCTAGTCTCCCAGTGACCCCTAGTCTTCCAGTGACCCCTACTCTCCCAGTGCCCCCAGTCTGCCAGTGTCTCACTGTCCCCATGTCTCCTAGTGCCTCCATGTCTCTCAGTGCCTCAAGTGTCACAATGTCACCAAGCTAGTGTCCCTAGTGTCTGTGGCCCTGGTATCTCAGTGTCCCCATGTCTCCCAGTGCCCCCATGTCTCAATGTCCCCATGTCCCCCAGCCAGTGTCTCTAGTATCTTTGTCCCTGGTGTCTGTGATCCCATGTCTTCAAGTGTCCCCTATTTTCCCATTGTCCCCATGTGTCCCAGCCAGAGTCCCCTAGTCTCCCAGTGTCACTGGTGTCTCCGTGTCCCTAGGTCTCCCCAGGTCTCCCCGTCTTCCTAGTGTCCTAGTGACATGAGGACCCTGGGATACATGGGGACACAGGGAGACATAGGGCATTGAGACACTGATACATAGGATCACTGGGAGACATGGGGCACTGAGACCTGGAGTAATCGACATATGGGGGCACTGAGTCATGGGGGCACTGGGAGGAATCCATCTTTACAGCAGATTTAAACTAAATAGTTTTTTGGTGATTTTACAGCATTTTCTCTTATGTCACTCCTTGTGATTTACATCATGTGATGTTACCCACACATAAATTAGTAAGGCCGGTATGTTTTTCCAAGAAAGGTGGCAACCCTAACTACTTTTCACATACTCTTACTTAAGTATGGAAACTTAAGAGGGATGTAAACTTGTGTGGACTGGCTGACAATGAATATAGTTAAAGGGACACTATAGTCACCAGAACAACTACAGCTTATTGAATTTGTTCTGGTGAGTAGAATCATTACCATCAGGCTTTTTGCTGTAAGCATGGTCTTTTCAGAGAAAATGCTGTGTTTACATTACATCCTAGTGATAACTTCACTGGCCACTCCTTAGATGACTGTTAGAGATCCTTCCTGGGTCATGGCTGCCTAAAATGCATCCAAACATTCAGTGTCTCCTCCCTCTGCATGCAGACACTGAACTTTCCTCATAGAGATTCATTAATTAAATTCATCTATATAAGGAGATGCTGATTGGCCAGGGCTGTGTTAGAATCATGCTGGCTCTGACCCTGATCTGCCTCTTTGTCAGTCTCAGCCAATCCTATGGGGAAGTACTGTGATTGGATCAGGCCACCACTTCTAATGATGTCAGCAGACTGCTTGTTTTTATGAGTCTAACAGCATGCAGAGTTACAGCTTCAGGCTTGAATATAGTAGGATTTTGCTATATTTATGGAGGCATGAGGGGCCCAGGGGGGCTAGATGGTGGTGTTAACACTATAGGGTCATGAATTCATGCTTGTGGTAATGCTGACTTTGGTCTCTCTAACACGGTGGCATGTTCCCTTTCTTCTACACTCACTACATACAGCTTTTCTCTGTCCCGGACCATATACCAGGAGCATCTGCCTGCCAGTAAGAAGGTAAGGAGACAAGTGGACCAGCGAGTGCTAGGGGACAGTCCTTAGAAAGCGTTGAGTGAGCGCATCATTAGATGCATTTATGCCAAGCTCAGGGTGCTGTCTGCATAGTATGCCCTTAGTTGCCCAGCTGCATGATTGGCAGGCAGCCTGACATGCATTCATGCCAGGCTGGTCTTCTAATTCTTTGAGCACACATGTCCTCTTTTTGGGCATGTTCGCCCCTTTTGGCAGGTTATGTGATTTGTGTCAGTGGCACACCCTTTTACTATGCCTATTGACTTCCTACTTGACTGGACACTGCTGTTAGGGGTTATGGATTTACTTGAAAGATGAAAACATAAATTAGTGAGAGATTAGCCTAGGGTATGTGTTTTCTTATAGCTGCTGTTTTCTTTCTCTCCAGCACCATCTCCATCAGATACATGATGCTTGGGAGTGTTTAACTGTTTTTGGTCGATATGATTCTGTAATTAGGCCCGTCATAATTGTCAGCACCAGGCCCACTGGGCTCTTAATCTGGCCCTGGATATGCACAGATCTGAATGAATGTTCCATAATACTGTGAAGGTCTGAACAGCCTGGTAAGTGAAGATCTTTTCAATTCCCTGTCTGGCACATGGCATGAAACTAACCTGCCTCCCCAAGTTGGGGACGACAATATGGATGGAACTTAGCTGACATAGGAATATTTGAAATGTCTTAGCCAAAAGGAAAATTTCCCATATTGAAAACAGTCCAATGTATTGTTACATGTAGATATATGCATTCGGATTTGGCTGAATTGTGAAGTTGGGCTGTCTGGCTGTTCGGATAAATTCCATATCTCCATAAGCACCGTGTAGATGTAAAATTGAGCAAATGATTAGGAAAATGGCTGAACATTTTCACATGATTCAGTATTCAAACTTCCAGCCAGCATTCTGGCCAGAAAACAGAGATGATAGGTGGGACAAAAAATGATTCATGGCTAGGGGACAGCCACTAAAATTTTATTCACAGATCAAGTGACCAATAAAGGGGAAAAAATGAGCAGTAAAATAAAATCTATATATTATATAATAAAAAATATATAAATATAGGTTTTTGTTTTATCGAACCTCCCCTTTTTCCATCCGTTGGTTATTTTTTTCGCTTGTGTTAATGTTTATATTATATATGTACATATTTTCCCATGAATGTCATTCACCTAAGTCAAACCATCTCCTGAACGAGCTTTAGACGTCCAGGACATACATCATTTCAATTTTAAGAAACATTTTACTGCTGAACCAAACAACTGTGAACAAGTCTAGTGATATTCTCACTAATGTTTTGTTGGAAATTCCCACCTCAATATGAACCTATTCAGTAACCATCTAAAGCTTTTGAAGATACTTGGAGTGCCTGGATCCTCTTTTTACTACTGATATCTACTCTCTTGGGCCAGTGCTGGCCTTTGGTCAAGTTTAGCTCCAGGATCTTCATGTGATTGTACTGAGGTTCATTTTTTCTCTCTTTGCAAATACTACTACAGTACTATAGAGGCCTAAAACTTACTTGCTAATGCAAGTCTTGAGGATCCATGGCACACTCACAAAATGTGGATTTTGACTTGCTAATGGCTAGTAGGTTAGTATAAAGTTTCAGCCCTGCTTCTGCTTATACAATGCATTTCCTATATATGAAGTTACACATTGGTACTATATTATTAAGATTTCAACCTGTAACTATCCCATTTCTACAGCAGGTATTTTAGCCCAGTCAGCTATCTGCATGTTATAATCAATAAATACAGTATAGCTATAAGCACAATGTGCTTTTCTGCATACAAATGTAATTCCAATAATTGTAACATTGTGTCGAAAGCTATTAAAATGAGTTTTAACCCCTTAAGGACACATGACGTGTGACATGTCATGATTCCCTTTTATTCCAGAAGTTTGGTCCTTAAGGGGTTAAATGTGTAATCCATTCCTAATTTATTTACAAACTTCTAACTGCCTACAGCAGGGCTGTTGATAACATACGTGCATACTTACATGGCCGTGTTGATCCAGCTCGTTGTTTGTCAGTTTTACTTTTTCAAAGGAAACCATTTGCTTTAATAACTGTTCACCGGTGAATGGGGAATCAGGATGCACATACAACCTACAAAGAAATCAAGGAATAAAATGATTTCTAATATACATAAAAATATATTCTTATCTTTGTGTTTAGGGCAGGATGGACAGATGTGTACACAGCTTGTTGTGTGTTGCTAGTCATGGTTGTCGACTAAAGAGGTTTGAGCTGCTCCATTGCTATGATATTTGTCATGACTAGAAAACTGTCAAAAAGGTGTTGATGAGGTATGTCTGTTGCTTGCTGGAAAGGGTTAGAAGGGGAGCAAAACATATGCAATTTATGCTCATCAGCACCTCTGCAAACATCAGCAATCCTAGAGCAAAGAAGGTCTTGTTGCCCAACCCGCTGGGAGAAATATGTGCACCTCCACCCCCCCCCCCCCCCGGGTAGGTAACACACTTTCTTCTGGATTTGAAAAACTAATTTTAGAAGAGCATACATATTGGGACTGATGTGTAGCATAGTCATTGCAGTTGCCCAGGAATAGTTGGAATTTGAGTGCTGGGCTTAATTTTGTATATTTGCATTTGTTTTGAATTACACAGCCAAATTACAGTGCTGTCACCCACACTATATGTTCCCTATTAAGGGTAAATTGTTAGTGTGGGATTCACTGTCGGGATCCCGCGGGCGGCTGCGAGGGGAGGCTGCACTCCGCTCGCGGTACTCACCCTCCAGCCGTCCGCGGTCCCCTCCTCCTCGTGGGTCCGGCGAGCGGCATCCTTCCAGCCTCGGATGCCGCCCGCCGTTTCCTCCACGTCCCCCAGCGGCAGCATACATGACGCTGCACGCTGGGAGACCGCCCAGGTTTGTACACGCCGGGGTCAGTCACCTGACCCGGCATTAAAGACACAGGCAAAGGCACAGTGCCTTAATCACAGTGGGAGGTCTAGATATCTCCCACATGTGATTGTTAATTCTGATTGGAAATTATCCAATCAGAATTAACCTTATGGTTTAAATACTTACCTTTCCTGTTCCTCCCTGCCCTGTTGTGGTCTTTGCTTTCTAGTATTGCTACTTACCTTGTGCTTCTGGTTACGTACTCTCTGGCTTGTTTATCTGACTCTGTGACTTTCTCCTACCCTTTGACCTCGGCTTGTTTCACGTTATTCTGTCTTCTGGTTCCCCTTACTCGGCTTGTCTCCTGACTATTCTGTGTGTGCTTAGCCCGGCCACTCTAAGGTCCGGTACGGCACCTTTTGTGTGTGTGTGTGTGTGCCAGCGTGTTGGGTTCCCCGAATCGTGACACTCACCTAAAAGGTTTTGCCTTTACGTGGCAGGTAAGCTTACATTTTAATGGCATTGGAGTGATACTAAAAAAGTCCAGTTATTTAAGTGTGAATAGAGATTTTTTTCACTTTTACAGAGGTGAACATGTGTGCCCAAAATTAACAAATGTTGAAAAAAACACAGGTCACCTGCCGTAAACCAAAGTACACTGTACACTTTGTGAAAAGGAAAGTAGGCCCATGTACTAAGGATAATTTTACGTTTGAACCTGCATGCAAGTTATGGTTACATTTACAGTTTTTGATATATTTTTAAAAATTGTTTTAGCTGCTCAGCACTCTTTGCAAGTGTGTTGAAATATTTAAATTTAATATACGTCTGCATTCTGATTTCTGTGCTAAATGCATATCAAGTTGCAAAGAGAAGGGGCCTTCGTGTAGTGGAGGCCTGGTGCATGCTGGTAAAATGTTATATTTCATTTATACTTCATTTATAAACTGTGGAACCATTCGAAAATGTAGTTTGTAGAAAGTCGAAATTGCTTTTACATGTGCTAAACATTCCCTACTGCCCTGAAGAATTAAACTGCTTTTCTTTTTAATAATGTCTTCTTTATCTTATCATTAAGTACAATACAATGCAATTAAAACAGTCAGTTGTTCATTTAAAGTCCAGTTTTACAGTAAATATATCACAGTAAAAGCAGATATTGCTGCTTTTTATCTTACCGTAATGTTCTTCCACGTTTATAGCACAATTCCACTGTTTTAATTACATTATTGAAACTCCTATACGGTTTATCTCTCTAATACATCTGTTCTACTACCTGGAATCATTTCAATTAGAAATCTAACTACATCGAGATAGGGTCATGATAACGTTTTAATTTTGCTTATTGTAATTTATTTCAAGAACAAACTACCACAAAGCACTAAGATAAAGTTATTGATCAATTATAATTGTATATTACAATATAATTATATATTACGGATAAAAATTTAGTTTTTTTGTTCGTTTTATAGTACAAATACAAATATGTTAACCTATAACTGTGAATTTTGGTCCTAAGCAAATCATGCATAAGCATTGCCAATGGAATTCTAAGCCAGACTGAGCTTCGATTTTCCGCTAAGAATATTTAGTATTGTGAAATATATTGTTGAGATAATGTTAATAATGATAATTTGTAATATATCACCAAATTACATTTATGCATCACCTGCATATATATGTAAAAGCTGTGTTTAAAATAGCGTCCATTGCCAGGGATAACTGCAGCAATGCAGTAAAAAGTCTGAAACACAATGCCTGTGTTTATTTGCAGGTCAAATTGGGCAATCTGGGATAATTGTGGAAACGTGATTTCTGGAGTTTCTGTGACGACGAAGGACTAGCCAAACTACAACTTGAGGTATTAAAGTGATGAATAACAGTATTTGTTTTATTTGCTTTGCGGGGTGTTTTATTGTGTTCGGCATCACCACAATCTTTTGGTACCTAGCTATATGCTCTCAGAGAGATTTCATCTTCCAGAAACAAACTGGTGCCATGCTGATGAGACCCATAAGGTCGAAACTGCAATCCATGACTTGTTTCTGGTCACTGGTCCTTTTGGACAGTTGTGGAAAAAAAAATTCTGGAATTTCTTTGTCCAAGGACGACTTCTCAAAGTACAGCTTGAAGTATGCAGGTGGTGGTGTGCTATGCTCCCTCCAGGCAGCAATGTAGCATTTAAAATTTTGAGCCTTTCCTATACATATACACACACACAAGCAGTAGATCATACCTAGCAGGTAAAGGAGGGTCCGCTTTTCCAGCAACTAGCCACGATGACCTGTGATATGCATATCTGTATCGTTTATTGTCAACAGGAACAATATCCATCAGTACAATGTATTTGGCTTCTGGGTCAACTCCAGAAAACGAAACTCGGATTGTAGGAAACATCCTCCTGTGAAAATGTATCAATATTACTATTAAAACATATTGTTAGCGTGTTAGAAACAAGTGCAATTCAATATTATTTTTTTGCAATTACATTATTTATTGAAATAATGGTTTTTACAAACTGTATCCAGACAGCTTGTAGATATGTAAAGTAAAACTCTTTGTCAGTGGCTTCAATAAAATAATTTACATAATAATATTAGGCTAGCTTATACCAGATGGAGACAAAAAATGGAACAAGTTTAAACTTTTCACTCACATTTAAAATGACTAGTATTGTGAAATAAAAAACGTATCTGAACATTATAGAAAATAATAACCAGGCATTTTTACACTGCTCAGACATAAAATTAAAACCACCTGCCTAATACCGTGTAGGTCCCCCTCGTGCTGCCAAAACAGCTCTGATGCTGTGGAGGAACTAACACTGGTGCAGCCGGTGTACATGTACCGGGGCCCATTGGCTCAGGGGGCCCATCAGGTGGCCCCTGCACTTAGAGCCACCCGATGGGTATTATTTTTTTATTCCTGAGCTGGGGTCTGGTTGGGAGCTGCAGGCCTTTAAGAGACTGACCAGGCCCCTGCAGTATCTGCTGGCTGGGAGGCAGTGATAAACAGCCTGTCACTTCCTCCCAGCTTCACACACAGACCGCAGGAGGGAGAGAGGAAGAGGAGACAGCGCAGGCAGCACGGGGTGAGAGGAGCAACCAGAGAGCTGCTCCACACCCCACTCCCATTAACCTCAGGCAGCAGGACCACAAGCAACCAGCCCCCGGACATAAAAGGTTAGCCATTAGGGTGGCTGCAAATATTACAGTTATAACATGTATGTGTGGGTTAGATGTGTGTGTGCATCTGTGCATCAACATGTGTTTATGTCAGTGTTTGCATGTGTTAGTATGTGTGTGTATCTGTGTCAAGGTGTGTGTGTATCTGTGTCAAGGTGTGTGTGTGTGTGCATCTGTATGTCAAGGTGTGTTTATGTCAATGTTTGCATGTGTCAGTATGTGTATCTGTTTCTCAGGGTGTGTGCATGTATCCGTGTATGTATATTTGTCAGTCAAGGTGTGTGTGTGTGTGTTTGTAAAAATCTGTGTCAGGTGTGTGCATGTGTCAGCATATGTGTCTGTGTGTGTTCATCTATGTGTCAGGGTGTGCATGTGTGTGTGTGTGTGTATGTCAGTGTCTCTGTGTGTGTGTGTGCATCTGTGTGTCAGGATGTGCATCTGTGTATGTGTGTGTTTGTGTCAGGATGTGTGCATGTGTGTGTGCATGTGTCGATATGTGTGTATGTGTGTGTGTGTCTGTGTGTGTGTGCATCTGTGTGTCAGGATGTGCATCTGTGTATGTGTGTGTTTATGTCAATGTGTGTATCTGTGTGTCAGGATGTGTGAATTTGTATGTGCATTTGACAGTGTGTATGTCTGTGTATGTGTGAGTGTGTATCTGTGTGTCACGGTGTCAGAGTGTGTATCTTTGTGTGTATGTGTCAGGGTGTATATGAATTTGTGTGTATGTGTCAGTGTGTTTATATGTGTTTATCTGTGTATTAATGCGTATGTATATCTGTGTATGTAAGTATGTATGTATGTGGCTTTGTATGTGCATATATCCAAGCAATCAAGCACCAACACAACATGAAAGCACACCCCTGCAATCTAAGACAAATATTACATACAAACACACCCCTTCACTCAAACACCAATACTACACACAAATGTACATTTCGCTTTTAAAAGCATTGCATCCAAACACACCCTCACAATCAGACGCAAACATAGTTAGATAGTTACATAGCTGAGAAGGGACTTGCGTCCATCAAGTTCAGCCTTCCTCACATATGTTTTTGCTGTTGATCCAAAAGAAGGCAAAAAACTGAAGCGCTTCCAATTTTGCAACAAACTAGGAAACAATTCCTTCTTGATCCCAAAATGGCAGGCAGATAGCTCCTTGGATCTAACAGCTTTTACTCAAATAATTAGAAATTATATCCCTGTATGTTGTTTTTGCAAGTATTTATCCAATTGCTGTTTAAATATCTGTATGGACTCTGATAAAACCACCTCTTCAGGCAGAGAATTCCACATCCTTATAGTTCTTACTGTAAAAAAAACCTTTCTTTGCCTTAGATTAAATCTCCGTTCTTCCAGCCTAAACGCGTGACCTCATGTCCTATGTATAGCCCTATTTATGAATAGATTTCCAGATTATGGTTTGTACTTGCCCCGAATATATTTGTGGAATGTCATCATATTCCCTCTGAGGCGCCGTTTTTCCAAACTAAAGATATTTAAATTTTTTAACCTTTGAAACTAAAATGCTCTATTCCTTTTATTAATTTTGTAGCTTGTCTCTGCACTTTCCCTAGTGCCATGAGATCCTTCTTTAGAACAGGTGCCCAAAATGGCACAGCATATTCAAGGTGTGGTCTTACCAGCGATAAAGAGGCAAAATTATATTTTCATCCCGAGAATTTATGCCCCCATTTATACATGACAAAACATTACTGGCCTTAGCAACTGCATATTGACATTGCATATTGCTGCCTAATTTATTGTCTATAACAATTCCCAAATCCTTCTTGTGTGTTGTTATCACTAATTCACTACCATTTAGGGTGTAAGTTGCTTGTGTATTCTTTACCCCAAAGTGCTTAACTTTGCATTTCTATACATTAAATTTCACCTGTCATTTGAGTGCACAGTCCCCCAATCTATCCAAATCCCTCTGCAGCAAACCAAAATCCTGCACACATTCTATTACTTTACAAAGTTTTGTGTCATCTGCAAACACTAAAACATGGCTTTTAATGCATTTTTCAAGATCATTTATAAATATGTTAAATAGAAGCAGTCCCAAAACAGAACCCTGAGGGACACCACTTACCAATTCTGTCTAGCTTGAAAATTTACCATTAATGAAAACTCGTTGAACTCTATCCTTAAGCCAATGTTCTACCCACGGAAAATAATATTCATTTAGACCAATTTCTTTTAGTTTGAACACTAACCTATTGTGAGGAACTGCATCAAACATTACATACATTGATTAAACATTGCATACAAACACACCCCTTTATTAAAACACTAAAATCAAATACAAACGCCCCCTATAATCAAACAAAAACACTTCATATACAAGGACACCTGCATTTAAAAGCCAACACATCATACAAACTCAAATGTAGCATTCAAACACAAACAGTACATACAAGTACACCACAGCATTCCAAAGGTAACAGTACATACAAATAACTTCATCCTTACATGCACACTACTTCCTGCTTCCACAATGCATTGAGCAGATTCAAATAAATATTTTGTTGCCTTGTTTATGGAAGTCCACTTTAACATGTTGTGTTTTATGGAAATAATTTATTTATGGATGTTCTGATCGGGAAATTATTGCATTCTAATAAACTACCAGCCTATGTAAAATTGGTTTAAATGAATTATTTTCACTTTTCAGTATTATTATTTTTTTTAGTTTTGTATATAAGGTTTTCACATTTTAGAGAATGACATTAGAAATCAGAAATTATTATTCATATATTTTATATTAAAAGCTACCAGAGAGCTAAATGACACTGACTAGTTAAAGAATGTGAGTATGACCAATAACAGACGTGAGTGAATATGAGCATTTACGAGGAGGGGATGGGTTGAAATATGTTAAAAAATAAATATGACTAAATTAATAATTAAATAAAGCAAAGCACACAATAAACCATGCAATATTCATTTTCAATGTAGCTTCTCAAATATTGGACAATGCTGCCTTACATATCTGCTGTATCTATTTTTAAAAAAAAATCACCTGGAATATGAAAGAGGTCATGAGTAAGAAACATCTTTCAGATTTTTCAGGTTGATTTGAGGTCCAAAGAAATTTGAAAAAGAGGATAAAATATCTTAATCACTAGCTTGGAAGATCGCCAAAAAGCTACTTTTACGTGACATGAACTTATATTCAAGATATTCAACTAAAAAGGTGTGCATATTTCCTAAAGTTAGAAACACAGTAAACAAATTTTTATTTATATATATAGTAATGGTAAATTTAGTTGTCAGTTGCAAAGAAATTAAGCATTTAATTTAAAGGGACACTATAGGCACCAAAACTACTTAATCTCAGTAAAGTTGTCTGTGTACTATGTCCCCCTGTTTTAACCTTAACAGCTGAAACATTGTCATTCTACAATGTATGGCAATGCCTGGAGGCGCTTCTGCGAAATAGTGTATTAAAACTCCACTATATCTATTAGATAGAATCAGACAGACCATCAGATTGGCACAACGAATGAGAAAGCATTGGATTGGATGAGATCATCGATCTGTAGGTGAGACCAGCCATGGACAGAGCCGCACGGCGTGGGGTGCAAGTTAAGTTAACTCTCAAGGAGTTAACTTTTAAACCTTGGGGGGGGGGGCACTAGGACATTACAGTGTGAGGAATACACCTTTGTATTCCTTACGCTATAGTGCTCACTTTATTCATACATGGGTAGAGAAAGCAGAAATGATCTCCTAGTTAATGCATTTTAAAACTAAAAAAGTTTCTCACTGTTAGAGTTCCCTGCTGATATACTATTTAGTAAATCTGTCTGCACATATAAAACAGAGCAGGGATATTGATCCAACGCCTCTCCTACTACCCAGTCCCATTTCCCTTTTGTTTTTTTGCTGCAATAAACGAGGTAGATTGTTTTTTAGCACCAGAACTTCTGAGAGGCCAACTTCAAGGAACACTGGAGCTAATTTAGTTCAACATCTTTGTTCAAGTCAAGATTTCTTTTTCAATACTCAGCTGGTAAATTTATTTTAAAAGCCAGTTGACAACTCAAATTTTAGTGAATAGATCCCCGAGCATTCCATCATCAACAGCCACATGTGTCTGAAAACAATTGGAAATGTAATTCTAAACAGAATATTTTCTGATGCCCGAGTCACGTTGAGTTCTGATTTTCCTGAATGTTTCCTGGAAGTCTTGTATTGCAAAAGCTTGTTTTATTGTGTGTAATATGGATTTTGAGCTTTTTTTTTTAGAAAACCATATTATGTGTTGTGGTCAATCTGTCATCTTTATAACTGTGTATTGCTCAGTCCTATACTGGGCCTCAAACATAATGCACACACTTTGAGACATAGCCATGGGACATTTTGCATTATAGAACACAACATGATCCTGTATCATATGAAAATAGGCAATTACATTTGCCACGGCTCCCAACTGTCCCGATTCTGGCGGGGCAGTCCTGATTTCCAGATCCTGTCTCACCACCCTGACTTAGTTCCTTAGTGAATGCTCCCGTTGAAAATGCATACTTTTTTCCTTATATTGTTATCTATCTATCTTTCTATTCATATATCTATCCATCTATTCTATTCTATTATGCAGTGTTATTCCTTCCCTTTCATCAAAGCTGTGCAATCAATTCATTTTTCTATTTCAATTAGCATTACAACAGATAAACAAAATCTTCTTCTAAACTGAAACATTTTGTATGAATTCTGATGCTATTAAATATTTGTCCAGATACACGTATTTAGAGTATAATTCTGAAATGTTTCGTGTTTCTTTTAGCAGAATGATGTGACGCAAATTTGAATGTGGATTATTTCCAAATATTCTTTCATTTTGGGTTTAATTTTGTAGTTTATTCCAGAAATAAGGAAACAATTCATTTTGGCCTACTTACTTGTAGCACCAGAAAATAATTCTGGGAGAGACGCAGAATTCTTTTAAAATTGGAAAATTCAAAAGAACAACTTTTGATGATCCTGTATTGCATAATAATAGCAAAATATGAATTTCTCTAGAAATTATACCATTCAATGAAACACGGAAATATATCCAGTTCAGACATATTGGGACGCACATTGCACGGGAGAGGAGACACAGAAAATGTGTCCCACTTGCCTTTTCTTTGCTGACTGACAGGTGCAAAGTGTGGAGCTTTGAACAATGGCTGACATGGTGCCAAGATGGAAGCACAGGGATTATAGTAAATACAGGAGCAGGAATTTCTACATTTAATTTTATATTATGATTCAGCAGATTACTGGCCCACTAACCAGTGCGAGCAACAATTATTTAATTTAAACAGAGCCATTTTAACCGCTTGTAAATGATACTGGACTCCTATTAACTCAGCACCTTTTCAGCATTGCTCAAATTTACTATTCTAAATTAAAACAATTTGTGTTATGTACAATAACAGCAGAAAGCAATGAAATGTTCTAGTTGATTACTTCACGTCTAAAACCTTAGTTCCAACATATATCTTCTAATGTCATTTAAACACAATTCATGAAGTTAATAGCTGGCCTTTTAGAATGTCCACTTCTGCTACTACGGGTTCTATCCACTAGAGGGCACTAGAGGCGTAGTTGCACCAATTTCACATGTCCACTGACTACAAGTCATTGTGAACTCACCTATTTCAAGAGACTCACACACCCTATTGAAATAAACCAAGGTTTATATCATTATCTGTTTAACACAATGTAAATAGGATTTTATTTCAAGCTTGAATGAGCTGGTATTTTTTTTGAAACACTGAGGTATAACCATTGAATCCATCTACAACTAATTTAGTTTAGCTTAATTTTCAAAACTTACAGGGCAGCTCCACACTTCTGGACTCTCTCTATAGTCCAACCATTTAGCAAATCCCTAAAAACCTACCTCTTCAGAGTACCCAATGGACTCACAGGGTAATTGTCACTTATCTCCCAATTCCATCAGTGGGTCCATTCCCCACTTCACACACCTTCCAGTTCTGTTCCATTCTCACCCTGTCAATCAATGGTTTCTGCCCCCCACTCTGTCCTTCCTGTTTTATTTTTATACCCCACCCCCTATACATAGTAAACTGGATTGAGCAGGGTCCTCGTAGACCTATTGTTCCTGTGAAAATGTTCATTAGTTTGTCTTATTTATTGTTAAATCACCCTTAATAATATTATAAAGTGATTCAGAAAAGGTTGGCCTATATAAATGCCAATAAAAATAACAATAGTTGATAGTAAATTGATACATGATGGCATTGGTTGTCTCTGTATGTGGTTCCTTTATTGTGACATAATTAAGTACATGTTACATTTCATAGCTCTGCCTTAATTCTCCAAACAATGACATAAGAAATCTTTCTAGCTTTTAATTATGAGTTAGTAAATATTTCATCCATTATTGTACCCTGGTTACATGGTGAATTACCTGAAGCCAATTCTTGCTGTATACAATATCGTGCAATTACTCACCTGCCAGATTTGGTGATAATCATTTCTGTCCCCAGGTCATGGAATTTATCCCAGAGCTCTTTTGTCTCCAAGCTGCAGGAAATCTTGGCCATCTCTTCGCTGGGGATGATGGGAGTGGTGGGGATTAAGGGCTCTGTACACAGTGAAGAGGGACTGCTACTAAACTCCACATGGTGGTCCACACTGGATATGTCACTGAGAGGCTGGCCACAGGGGGATTTCTCCACAAATTGTTCTAACAGAAAAAGAAACAATGTTCAGGTTCTGTTTATTTTTTTTAAATCCTTTATTAACTTCATACAGTAGATACAACAAACATCTGATTTCTTCTGCAAATAAAACAAGATCATTCAAATAAAAGCTGGCTTATATATATAGTTAATACATTTCTAAACACAAATAAACACACCAGTCAAGCCATAATACTTGCTTTTCCCACAGAAATATCACTTTAACAGTGCTCTAACTACGGCAAGGGATTCTGGGTAGGCATATGCAAATGAGCTCAACAAAGAACCAAATTTTTGCCTCATAATTCCACTTTATACCCAGAATCCCTTGCAGTAGTAAGAGCACTGTTAAAGTGAGATTTCTGTGGGAAAAGCAAGTCTTTCGGCTTGACTGGTGTGTGTATTTTAGTGATGTAACTATCCACTTACTTCAGGTGGAAGGGGTTTTCATCCACACTTTTTCCCCCACCACAACCCTATTGGCATGTGTAGATGTATTTATTTATTTATAAATAAAAATAATGTAATGGTTATTCTGGTATGAATATATTACCACAAAGGGTAAAGTAATTTACTGGTTATTCTGGTGTATCTATCTATATATATATATATACACACACACACACACATACACACAAATAACCATTAAATTACTTTAACCCTTTGTGGTCCAGGTAGCTAAAGATTGCTTCATGAACACACACTCAAACAAGAACACACCATGGAAGATAGATAACATCTCTAGTCCTAATAAAGCCTTTAATACATTGAATATTGTATCTGTTTGGGAGGCTAGTATAATATTAATGTGAATTAATGGCTCACAATATAATAATTACTATGTAAGGGATAATCCTACATGTACAATTTTAAATGCAATCATCGTACACAAATCATTATATTAGATATATAGACAGACAGACAGATAGATAGATAGATAGATAGATAGATAGATAGATTAAAAAAAAAACAAGTAAAAAAGGATGCTCAGATAGACAGATGGAAGAAAATAATATATGAAGTATAAAAGCCACATTTTTATTAACCATCAGACACTAAAGGCTACTTTTTTCCTTTTAACCCTAACATTTGCTTAGTAGTAAATACAATAATTAATGTAGGGCGCTATTTTAAGGTGATTCAGAGTGCAATAATCAACTTTTATTGATCACAACTCCCATCATTCTCACCAATGTAATATGCTAGCATTGTATCCCAATATAACCTTGATAATCAGCAATTAGCATTTTTTTCTCCTCAGATTAAAATTCAGTAGAGAGTTACAATTCAGGAAAAAGGACTGAAACTCCTGTTGTGCTCGGCCAGTCAGGTTCCTGACATGGGATCAGGGGAGCCGAAATCAAGCAATATTATATAATCGCTATCAATTTAACCAGAATTGCACAATTTAGACCAAACGTTAAGACTAAACCTGAGTTTGAGATTTTTTTCCCCCCACTCTTTTGCCTAAATTTTGCAATTCGGTTTCATTTCGCGGCAGTTCGCTGTTTAGTAAATACATCCCTAATGAAGCATTTATGCAGCAGATATGCAGTAAATCCAATATCCATTTGTGAGATAATATACTAGCCATTGCTAAACTCTTGGATTTCAAATATTGCAGAAATTCCCCAAAATACTAAGCCAGCCCTCCAGGAGGAGATAAGGTGAATGTACATATGTTATATTTCATGAAACAATACACTTAATGCTGGGATAAGCAACATTCGATATGTAGTCTTACAGACATGCAGTGCCAAATGCAGCCTACTGCAATTTTGGGGTGAAAATTGGGGAAACACTAGATTTTAGACTATGAATAGCAACAAAGGCCTCTTTGAAGAGAATGACTTGGTGAATACACACTGTACGTGATGTTTAGCATATTTTAACCTCCAGGTTTAAGGGGATTTCATTTATTTGTGGCTGTTCTGGCTCCTACCAGGTTTAGCGTTTATAGGGTTTTACAGTCAGTTTGGAGACATGGAATTAGCAGATATTCCCTGGGACTGCAGATTTGGAGACATGATGGGAGCAGACAGGATCATCTGTCTCCAACGTCCCCCCTCTAATCTCCCAACATTTACTTTTGTAATAAGACCATTCCATACTGACAGTGTGTGTCATAGTAAGGCTGGAAAAAAAGATTTAAAAAAAAGATTTTTACAGAGTCAACAGTTTTGAATTCAGAGTTATCTTGACGTAGAGCTAAGACTGTATATATGTTTTATTTTATTTAAATTTTTTTTTTTTTTTTTTAAATCAAAGAATGCGTTTTTCTTATTCACAATAACCACAAAGTTGTTAGAATATTCAAGGTTAGTAAAGTCTGGCCAGTGTATCAGCAAATGCTTTTATAGAAGCTAGCAGGACCCACAGTTATTCTTGTGTTAGGAAGAGAAGGTTAGAAAGAAGCAAAGGAGCACAGAGGTTTAAAAACAAATATATAGTTGACAATAATTAAAAAAAACAACACCAGGATTTATAGGGGAAGGGAGGGAGATTAAAAATGGGAAGAAAGAAGTTAATGTATCAACAGTGACTCTGAGCAGAATTCTTAAAGCAGCGCAGTAACTATAGCAACCAATTTGATATGTATTATTTTTGCTCTAATTAATAAAATGTGCACCGATACTACTGTTTATACTTAATAAAAGTTTGTATTGATACATAATGAAAGAGAGAGGGAGCAAGACATATATGGACAGAAGTTCAAATGGAAACCGGTATAGATGTAATACAATTATTTATATAGCGCCAACATCTTCCGCAGCGCAGTACAACAGATAAAGAATGCAAATATTTAATGCTAGCAAAACAGGGATAACATAGGTGAAGACTAGGTGAAGAGGGCCCTGCCCAAACCATCTTAAATGTAAACCAAGAATTATGATGGTTTTACAAGGGAATTCTATATTTAATGTCAATATAGTAGAATTGAATAAATAGCAAATTTGGAGAATGTTTACAATTCAGCTAATTTGGGCTAAAATCAGCAATAAAGCCTTAGTGAATTCCCTTAAATTTTTAATTTTGTTACTAAGAGGATCATTTCACTTAAAAGTGAATTGAAATCTGATTTTGGAAAATTAAGAAAGCATTTATTATAATTAAATTGAAATATGTACAAACCCATCGTATAATCCCAATATTTCTGTTTTGTCCTTAAACGTGCAACGTTCACTCTTGAGAGAATCCCACTTTATTATATGCAAAATCAGATTTATATTTGCAAAATGATGTATTTGATGCTGATATAATTCACTGTATTCAATGCATGTATGAATTGTATTAATTCACTTTGTGTGCACTGATTAATTAATACCTGTCTTTAATTGGATACATATAAAATCAATTTAGGATTAAAGCAGGTCTTTACCCTTGGAGTAGAGGAGGCATATTCTAAAATTAGTGAAATAAGAGCGAATGGAAAAATCGAGGCTAGCTAGCTGATTTAGAAAAATCCTCCAAATCGGCTAAAGCCACAACTTTCGCCGAAATATTTTTTATAAGATTTCCAAATATAAGGGTTAGTTGCTAAACTGAGAATTAAAAGTGAATTTCGAATTTAATATCAAAATGAAGTGGAAACAATTTCTAAGTCAGTTGTGTTTCATTTTGGCTACTTAGGCCTTCAGTGTGAAATTCTATGTGAATTAACGTTGAATTATCACTAAATAACCCTGTGAAACTCGCTGCTTAGTGAATAACTCCATACATAATTCTCATACTGATATCTTCATTTTTTTCACTTCTCTGTGGCAATTGCCCCTATACCCAGTAACTACTCCCTGATTCTATATGATAGAAACTGTTATAATGTCATGTGTTAACTTGCATCTCAAATTAATGTTTACAAGAATTATTCAAAACTCTCCAAATCGATGCGAATTGAAATACGAACATCATTTTAGGTTAAATTGGCCAAGCTACGACCAAATCACATACGTATATTTATCGAAATGTAGCCATTCGGATTTCAATCCGATGTCTCAGGACGTTAGTGCCTACACACCATATATATTGTTTTCAATAAAAACATTTCGATAATATAATTCGTTCATGGCAATAAAAGCATTCTAGTTAAATATACATTACTGAGATTTAACTAGCTCTAAATAAAACCTGCAAACAAGGAAAATCTTAAATATCAGTATCCACATATAAAAAGATATATTATATGTAACATTGCTGAATATCTCTATCTATCTATCTATCTATCTATCTATTGCTTCACGAATTATTTTGTGGCTAAGTAGATTCAGATGAGGATAATGGTCAGCAATGATATAAAACAAGAAAAATATTAAAATAATAAAAAATAATAATACAATATTATAAATGCTGGATTGTATATTGAATGATAAGCCCAATTTAATTCCACCCTTAGCAGAGAAATAGTTAAATATATTAGTAATCGAATTCTTGTGTAGTGTCATTCTAATATTAAAATATTCTGCTTCTAATGTCAGTACATTCTACATGATTAATTTACCAAGGTGAATAATTAAATGCTAGGTATGAGAAATAAAGGATGTTTTTGTTTTTCTTTCTATGGCATGCATCATTGAAATAATGTTATAATATTTTTTTTTCTTTTTAAATTTAATTAAAGTTTGACAATCTGCCACCATTTTTAAAAAAAATGTACTTATATTTATTAAGTTTATTTTTTTGCAACTGCGTGACTTGTATAATAAATAAATAAATACTGTCAGCCTCCTAAAATCGGAAGTCAAAAGAAAAGCTACAATTTCCAAGCACGTCCAACTACAGAATGACTTCCTGTTAGAAATGATATAACCGTTTCTATGTATCTAGCAAGTTTCATTAACTGTAGCGTTACAAAACTCAGAGTGTGGTGATTGTGAGATTGTTTAGAAAATAGTATATATGATTATTACAGCGAGATCTTGCACAGGGAACCAGGACATCGTTCATAAAATGATCATGTAGCACTCTCATTAAACACAATGATAACTTTACATTCTCCTAAAATCAGGACTATTTAATATGCATTTAAAAAAGGGCAGCTTAAGGAAATGTCTGTATGTGTAAGTAGCTATGGAGGAATAAGGCAGCTATACTAGTTAAAATAATTCTATGAAATTCTCTCTCTATATAGCAGCATATATATGTGTGTGTGTGTGTATCTAGAGAGAGTAATGCTGCTATATATATATATATATATATATATATATATATATATATATATATACATGTGTGCATGTTACATGTAAATGTCTCATATGGAGAGTACAAGATATATATACCAATCTATACGACTTAATCACTATACATTTTAAACATGCATTATTTGTATTGTATTATTATTTTTGATTATTATTATTATTATTTATTAATTTCAAGAAAACAAGCTGCATATTTTAGCCAAAATAAACTTAATAAAAAAAAAAACAACAACAACATGATTGTATTTCTGGTGAATGGCAGACAAGTAACTAGACTGTACACGTTACACGTGACTTGTTGCAGTTTCAGTAAACATATAGCAGTTGATTGTAGCACAGTTAAATGTAGCCCAGAAGATCAGACAGTAAAAGTTACAATGTAGTGGTTGTAGTACTCACCCAGGGGTTTTATCGTGCTCTCTGATGTGTCCCTGTCCTTGGGATTCCCACTGGACATTAGAGCTGCAATGGAAAATGCATTAGCTCTGGAAGAGAGCTGGGGTTTGGGAGAAGCTGTGTATTCCATGCTGGAGCTGTCTGCTTAACCACAGACCAAGCACTGCAACAAGTAGACTGGGGGCAGGCTGGAGGCTGGGGGAAGCTCTGCTCACTGCACACAGGGCTGAGGAGTTAAAGATGAACACCTAGTGAGACTCCTGTGGATACAGAAGAGCATTATTTGCTCAGGACCTCTGATTCCCTCCAGGGACTGCTGCTGCTTTCCTGTGAGATGCTGGCCAATGACTGTAGCAAGGCTTTGGCATGAGGTCAGAAGTAGCCAGGGTGGGTCTTGTGGATTGGTGGAAGGAGAATGGCTGTGTGGGGATGATTGTTGTTGACTGTGTTGAGTGTCAGCCTCCCCTCTCCTTAATTTGATGGCCACACAGATCCTATCTCTTCCCTGGCCAATGGCTGCCTGATGAAGCTGATAAGTGTAGGGGAGGTGATGGTGGCCAGAGGTGTGTGCAGAGGGTGGAGAGCTGGGCAGGGATAGATTTGGATTCAGTCCGGACCCATTCAACTGCCTAAGTTTTAAAAGCTGCACATTGTCTCCTAAATCACTTTTAATTGCACAAAACAAATTGCACAGAAGTCATTTAAGGAGTGACAGGTGGGGTTTGGGATGTGTAAGTAGACTTAAAATCCTGGGATGGAGATAAACTGCTGGGGTATTTTAGAAAATCAGGATAAATAATAAGTAAAGCAACCTACAAGTGTGTGTATATCTCATACACACACACACACACATTTAATTTTTTTCCAAGTGTATTACCTATAAATTACTAATTGATAGGTATACATTATTACTTGTGCATATTTTAACTTTCCATTCCTGTATTGCAGTGAAAAGTGGTGGTGGTGGTGGTGGTGATTGGATGTAGGGGGGTGTCCATGTGTGTGTGTCACATGTCATTGGTGACTAAATGTCTAATGGCAGCTGTCACCTATGAATGGTTGCCTAAATGCACATGTATCCTGTCACTTCCATTAGTGGGTACATCACACATCCTATAGCACAGACACCTGGGACACACCGTGTGACTGGGGGACATTGATGATCTTCTCTGCAAAGTAGAGACACGTGGATTTACAATTAATTGTAGGCGCTCTATCTAGAAGCCATATTAGTGAGACATTAAGGAGATTCCAATTATCTACAAACCAGCAAAGAATCACTTGGGTTAATCCCTAGAGCGATAACGAGCAGCTCATACTATAATCACCAGCAGCCAGTCTACAAGCTTAGTCTTCACTGGCTTACCATGGACATTCACTGCACACAATCATAAAAAATAAAAGCAAAAAAACTATTCTCAGAGAAATACACAGACAGACACACTTACAACCATACACCCATCAACACACACATTCATACACTTACAAAAATACAAATGCACGCATATAAACAGCATTTACACAAATAAACATACACATGCATACACACCTCCAGGAACACACACACACACACACACACACACACACACTTACACAAATACACAAAAAATATACACGTGCATACACACACCTCCAGGAACACACACACACACACACACACATATACAAATACACAAAAAATATACACGTGCATATACACACCTACAGGAATACACACACATATACACGTGCATATACAGACCTACAGGAATAAATACATACACACAAATATGCACATGCTCACATAGACACACACACATAGACTTACACCAATATACACACTCACATGTAGACTTATACACACGAAGTATATGTTATTGTTCATTTCACACAAGTTCAATTCCCCCACACCTAGTATATTCATTTTTTTTTATCAAGTAAAAGGGTTATGTGTTTTTATTTAGAGTGCATGCATTTAGTGATCACATCAATATTTAAAAATAAAATGGAGAGAAAAAAATAAGCAAACCCCACTTTTTACTATGTAATATATTTCCAACATAATATATATAAACATTATACACACACCGTACACGGCCACTTCTGTTGAAGGTAGCACAGATTTGCTAAATTAAAGTCAATATAGTAAAGTTTGGAACACAATATCCAGTTAGACCGAACTGACATTTTATCGAACTCTGCTGTTTAGCTTGAATTTTGCTCAGTGAAAATTACTCGATTTTTTTGTGTGCAAATATTACAATAATCAGGATGACTTTGTATGGGACCTTTATTTCCTTGTACTATGTACATTTTATGTTACACATATTCATCACCGAAAAATAAATACAAGACAAAGTAAAACAAAACGTGTATATTTACATTTATTTTATACTTGTGTGTGTATTATTCATTTATATTTATTTAATATAAAGAAAATTATAAATAATATCTTTGTGAACTTTTGTCCCGATTTTGACCTTATTACTGGAGATTATTACAAAGATCAGTTGTGCATTGTCACTCTTTGCTACATACTGTATATAACTTGTACAAACTAGCATTAAAATCTAACAATTCATATTTAGAATAAATGGACAGCAAGGAGTCGCTGCTTTTCCCCGAAGAGGAGATTTTGGATATATTAGGACGAATTTCTTTATGGGAATGACTCTCTCTCTCCCTATTGCCTGTATGCTGTGTGAACTAGCAGCCTAGTGCAGATCATGTCACTGTTTGGGGAGACATTGTGGCAACATTTGTATAGTCTGCATCCCTGTGCTATCTCACCCAGACCCTTTCTCGGTGGGGTTAATCCACTTCACAACACACCATTTTGTCCCTAATCTGAACAGGACAGCTCCATGAAACTATGGGAAAGTGAGCTGTAAGGCAGCCAGTAACATGACATTCCAGGGCAGGTACACTGCTAAAGTTGTTTTCTTACAATGACATATCTCTGGTAAGTGTCTATTAATGTCATATTGTTATTTTTTTTTTTCTGCTTGCACTTGATATCTGCTCCTATTGTCTGCAGTCAATCAAATCCCCTGTAGTGGTTGAAGTCACTGAGAGCCTTTTCAGTCTATATGTTTATCTGGAGAATTAATTTATAGCAAATAAACCAAATAGCCTATTCCAAATGATTTTTTGTTTTTGTTTTTTTATATTACTAGAAAGCAGTGTATGGATTTAAATGATCTGTTTAATTCATTTACAATGTCAAGTGACAGAAAAAAATATATATATATAATTTGAAGTAAGATTTTTTTTGTCTTTTGTTATGATTAATGTTAGTATTGTTTATATATTATATAATATTTTTTTTAAAAACTTTTAATAAAGAAGATTGGAATATAAATTATGCTAAATATATATTATGTTGAAAAGAAATCATGTTAAATATGTGTTATGATTAAACCGAATCTTTCTATCTATCTATCTATCTATCTATCTATCTATCTATCTATCTATCTATCTATCTATCTATCTATCTATCCCTGACTTTATATTAATTGATAAACTCACTTTTGTAATTAAATAATGCACCTATCCAATTTACAGGTGGTTTTCAAGTTCCAATTTTATTTTTACATCCATGCAATACAGAGAGACACAATGATATCACACAGTCAGCAGCTGAGGGCTATTATATTAGAATATATAACTCACTGTAATCACATGCACACTTAATGTAAACAGAGGTTGTGACTTTTTCTTACAATTTGCTCTATATAAGCTGCTACTAAGTAAATGAATCCATTCAGATGTAATCAGTAATCAGTTTGAAAATATGAATATAACATTATCATAATCCCCATTAATATATCAACGTTTGCTTTTTTTTTTTACACATTTGTATTTGTACATTTTATTTGTTGTTTAATCCAGTATAGTGTTGTAGATGAAGTGTATTAAAATACTGTAATATAAAACACCTACATAAGGTAAACAAAAATAAAGTACAGCAGAATCAATAAGGAAAAAAACACCAACAAACATTATATTATCTGGATTTATTCAATCAACAAAATAGTTTAATTTTCTCTAAATACCTTGTTTTAAAAAAATACAAATTAGTTTTCTAAATAATGAACACACCTATCTATCTATCTATCTATCTATCTATCTATCTATCTATCTATCTATCTATCTATCTATCTATCTATCATTATTTTATTGACATTTTTATAAATCAGTGAGAAACGAGTAATAGCTGTCTTTGGTGAATACTATTTGAATTTACAATATCACTTTGTCCTGTGATTTTATTTTCCCTGTGGAATAATTTCGGGTTCAAAAATATCCCCCAAGAGTAGTCTCCTTCTGCCCTAAGACGTTGATAAGGTAAAGTCTCCAGTCTAGACGTCTCTCTCTCTCTCTGTCTTTAACTCTCTCTTTTCTCCTTTGTTTGCCCAATTCATTTATTCGGCTAATTCATTCGTTTTTTTTCAGCAGAATAAATAAATAAATAAATAAATAACAAAAAAACAACAACATTCTAAAGGGTGTAATATTTACAAACCTGTTTCCTACATAGCTCCATGAGAATATGTGAATTGGTAGGAGTGGGTTTGTGTTATTTGCTATAATTTGTATGGCAGACGTTACATTTATTGCTAAATGCTGATAAAATAAACGCCAATATACATCACTAAAAAATACACTCAGTGGTAGAAAAACCATAGCCATAAAAATATGGAATTATTTATAATAGTGAAAGAACATAGATATTGTCAGAAGAATTTCTAATTTTCACAAACAGTAATACCCTTTTTCTCTGAATATCTGCAAAATATGTTATTTATATGACCTATACAAATATTTAATTTAATTCATTTTTACATTTAATTAACCAAATTAATATAGCAGCACATTGATCATTTCACAAATCCTAAGTGTTTTTGTACTAAACCTGCTTTATGGAGAATTGACACGAAAATTGCACCTTAGGCCAAATAACCAAATTGATAAAATGTTCCTAACCTGCTTTTTCCACTTCTTCTAATTTGTCCTTAAATCTGCAATTCTTTTGTGAACTCCTCCCAATTATCTATTTATTTAATTAATGAATCCCAATGAAAAATAGTCAATCACGACCTGGGAAAAGTCTGGTTTTGCATAACATTTGATTTGTTTATTTTTTTTCTTGTATTTTTGTCTCAGTTTTGCAAGATTGTTGTTAACCCAACAGACTGCTGTTTAGCACCCACCACACAAGTAAAAAGGCATTGTAGCACCTGGAAGACCTGGTTAACTAATTCATTCTATAAAATGATGGATAAAGAGAAGTTCTTTCTTCATTTTAACCAATGAAGTGCTGGTATTGGAGGCATGTGTCTCTCAAAGGGTTAATGTAGGACCAGATCATGAATCAAATGCTATGTTCAAACGTTCCAAACATGCCAGAGTGTCTTTCAGACAAGATCATATTTATTTATATTCTCAT